AAAAAGTGCAGAAGCCTGATTGAGGAAAACGATGTGGTTAAAATATTAAAATATCATCAAACGTTAACCAGAACTCACTGGGAGGCTCTTCAGGGAGGCTCTTTATATAAAATATTTTATATTTTAATCAAAAATAACACCCTTCGTTAAACCACGATGACTGTATATTGTAAAGAGAGGGTGAGAGTAGTTATCCCCCCCCCCTTTCAAGTGGACAAAATTCATATTTATATATATAATAAGTCGAACAGTTACTTCGTCAAGGGAGGCAGATATCAATCATCTTTTTCTAATATTTTACGGACAGAGAAAAATGATAAATTACGAATGCAATGATATATTTGGAATAAAAATAAATAATTAGCCAGCGATTAGTCCAACGTTCACTTGGATTTTGATATTGACTGCACAGTGGGTTTATGTACAGTGTACGTATACAGACAGGCAAGAAAAAAGGAGAAATTGAAAGACTATAAATACATGATGCCTCTTTCAATGAATTTATGTTTAAAGAGCACAGTTTGGGATCTTGGATGTCAATTTTTATTGGAAGTTCGGGGGGTTAAGGGTGGGGGGAGGGGGGGAGGGAGGAAGTGTTGATTTTCTCACGATCTTTCATCATTAACAACGAAAAAACTGATATTTTCAATGTTTTTAATGTGGAAGGCATTTTCTTAAACTTTATAATTGATAAATAATGTTTTATTATTAATCGATCAAATTAACAATTTAAAATTCACTTAATTTAAAGTTTAACACTTAAGTTTTTAATCAATCATTTTATTTAAAAATGTTCAATTCTTTTGACTTAAATTTATATCTTTTAACTTTTTAAATCACAACATTGTTATAATACATACTTATTTACAATTTCCACAAATTTATTCATAATAATGCAACTTGAGAGTTACATAATGATTTTTGTTGAATAAAAAATATATTATGAAATTTTAATTTTAATTTGTTTAAGAAAGAAACTATGAAATACTAGAAAATAGATATTTAGATTTTTATTCCAAAAAGATTTGGTTCTTTGTAAAAAATGGTCATTCTTGAGAACATTATCAGTAGGATTGCTTTGGGGGTCTGGGGGTGAAGATTGAATTCTACTTTTATGTGGGGATAATTGTTTGTAGATTTGAAACATTCGTAAATCGTCGTGTTGTTTATTGGACCTATTTAGGGCGCATCGCGCCTCTTTTTCGTGTAATTCTTTTAAATCATTCTTCGCCTTTAACTATTTAATTTTTTTCCTTCATTTTAAACAAATAACAATTTTGGATTTTCCTTTTATTCTGTTTTATATACTAATTTTGTGGGTTTTTAAATATCAAACATACACACTCACTGGGTCCTATGAGGTCTCCCAAACAAACCAACAAACTGACAAAAAACACAAATTTAATAATTTAGATTTTTTATAAGCTAATTTTATCTTTAAATTCATCACGCATTGACGCACTGGAAAGAGAGTAAGACCATAAATTAAAGTTTTTACCGCGTCTATTGGTTTGAATTCCAAAAACTGTTTTATTTATATTTAAACTCGATATTATACAAGTCTATAGGAAGCCAGGCTTGCCAAAACTATTGGAAGGGAGCTGGATAATTAGTCTAAATAGATTTTTTTCTGTTTTTATAACTTGGACTTCGTACAATGTACATTCCAGCTATTTTGAGTTTATTGTTTTTGTTTATTCTTTAAAAAATGCGGAATTATCTGAAATAAATTCTTCAATTCTAACGTATAACTATAATTAAATTAAGTATTTGAATGTATTTCTTAAAGATGTTTTATAGTTAAGATGTGGAAATAAGCTTTCTAGCCAGGGAGGGGGGAGGGGGCTACGCCACCATTAAGGTGGCGTATTCCCTCTTGCCCCCCCCTGTATACGCCCCTGAAAAAGCCTTGTATAATCTCGTGTGAATTCTCTAAGCTAATTTAAAATCATTCATCAAATTTTAATTTTATATATTACTTTAATTCTTTACATACACGGTGTTGTTTTTTATTTAATTTACAAATGGTCGGAACTAAACCATCGTTTGTACCTTTACGTATAACCTTTAAAGGGATTTTGAAAAGTTTTTTTCTGATCTAAAATATTTTAAATATACAAGCACTCGAATTCTGACGTCAATGGAGATTTCAAAGTATAAAAAAGATTATTTTTATACTTAAAATATCAAAATATATTTTTGCGGGAAAAAAGTTGAAAAATTATGACTGTTGACTTAGATTTAATGATATTAAAAGTTTACTAAAATCGGAATATGAATATTTTTTTTCCAGCCGAAAATCTATTAAAAAGCACAAACATTATTTTGACGTATGAACATGAAGATAGTGCAATGTTTCCCCAGATCTTTAAATTCTGTATTAGTGATCCAATATCCAAGCAATTATTTGCGATCGAATATCCGATATGCATATATATATTTTGGACACCCTATATTATATACGGATGTTTTGGACACCCTGTATTGTATATGGATATTTTGGCCACCCTGTTTTATATATGGATGTTTTGGACACCCTGTATTATATACGGATGTTTTGGCCACCCTTTATTATATAAGGATGTTTTGGCCATCCTGTATTATATACGGATGTTTTGGCCACCCTGTATTATATACGGATGTTTTGGCCACCCTGTATTATATACGGATGTTTTGGCCACCCTGTATTTTGGTCAAATAATTTTTACACAAGAATATTTCCTAGGGGTACTCTTATCGGTGACTAGGCACTAGATATTGCTGGCCACTCTGTATTATTGTTTAAATATTTGATACCAGATATTTTTGGCCACTCTGTATTATTGATCAAATATTTGATACCAGATATTTTGCCACAATGTTTGCAGTGCAGATTAAATATTTGCTACCCAGGAATATTTGAAAATTATTTTCCCGCCAAATTATTGAATTTAATAATAAATTATCTAAAAAAATTCTAGTTCTCAGAAAATTATCTTTAATTTCAGGTTTAATTATATTTTTATATATTTAATTATACAGTTTATTTCCTTAGCAATCATTATTGTGTCCATTTTACAGAGATAATTTACGTCAAGTCATTTGTCAATCAAAAATATTCAATTAATTACGACTTTCTGTGTGTTTGTTTTAAAGTATTTCGTTTATGTCGGTGTCTGTTGTCCAAAAAGAATTATGTAAAAATAATGATGAATGATTTTTAAAAAAGTTAATCATTTTTTAATAAAATATTTAAGGAGGTTAAGATTTTTTTTGCCCCCTACAAAGTACAAATACCATATTCTAATCTCTTTAAAACTGAAACTATTTGATTTAGCAAACAACTAACAATTTAAAAAAATAAAGATTATAAGATCAAATTGCAGAGGAAAAATGATGCAAAAATTACAGTATGAGAATAGCAAACAATTGCAGTGCATAAGTTCATTCATGTTTATAATTTGTTTTAATCCTTAACTTAACCTTGCCCTATAATTATTACTGTTATCATCAATATAATTATCATTAAAACAATATTTTCTCTCTTATTAGGTTAATAATAATAACATAATTATAGAGCTAATGACAGAATTGAAGCCAGTTTAAAAACATGACAAACATCATTTATAATATAGATATGGAGAGTTGCAAAATCGTCAAATAATTAGCAGTTCGAATTAACCAAAGGGCGAAACTTTTTTACTTTAAATTTGTTCATATACTCGCTCAGGCGGTTTACCTTCCACTTGTGGATAAATAATCAGACAAAGCTACCCCTTTCGTTAAATCATTTCATTTCTTATTCAGGTGTTGGTGGATTTCCCATTTATTAAACTTAAATCATTCAAGTTAAAAGTTTCGAGTTCCGTCAATGCTGCTTAGCGCCTTCCGACAGTAGACGTTTGATTCAGATCAAAGTACATCCACGTAATCTTCAACAAAATCAATACAAGAGAGGACGAAAACTAACATTTGTTATTTGAAAAATTTATTACGAAACATTTTATAGTTTTTAATCAGGCGTTTCAATTACGATGTTAAGATATGATTGCCATTTAAGCTATTATGAAACATAAAATCATTTATTATAATAATGGTTTAATAAGCAAGGCTAGTAATTGTGAGGGGCGGGGAATGTTTAAAAATCACATACTATAATTTCACTAATGATTGCACACCAAAATAGTTAAAGGAACTGCCAACGTAATCTAGAGTGACCCTCTCCACTTAATGAATTGCCCCTGTCGGAACTTTTAATTATCCCAGTGTGTGTTTTTAAATCTGAAAATTGATAAAGAACTGTAAGTTTTCTAAAAGTTAGTTGAGGACTTATGCAATGAAACAATAAAGGAAATCAACAAAATTCATAACTTTTAGAGATAGAAAAACAAAAAATTCAAAACAGTTTTGTTCTTTACAATAGCTCTTAAATAAGAAGAGTTATGATTGAAAATTACGTGAAAGGAATTGAGTCTTTACCACAATGTCTGCTTTTCTAAACCCTATATCTTTGTATTCCAATGTCGTAGACCTTAGGTATTCAAAACTATGAATTCTGTTAGATCAAATAATATAAGTTTGAAATATCAAAGGTTTACGACATTGGGTTCCAAAGATATAGGGACTATAAAATCAGAGTTTGTGGCAAAGACTCAATTCCTTTACCTTAATTTAAGATGACACATGTATCACCAAATAAACCTTCCATTTTCACCTTTCCACATGTTCTCACATGCGGAAAAATTTATTCTCATTATATATTAAACCGCTTATCTTAAATTTTTCAAATTTGTTATTTTTTAAGGAATGAACACAATAATAGAATTTCTTCAAATATTGTAAATAAAAGACAACAACACATAATTTTAACGTGGATGGATCTTGAATTATAAAACTAGTTTTTCTGTGATTAAAACTTTTAGTATTTTCTATCATTCATTTGCGATAGATCGAACACAACGATAAGAATTTTGTTATTGGTTTTAATAAAAGACGACTGCTACAAAAAAATTATTTTTTAGACCGGTTTTTTGGCAATGAGGTCTCTACTGGGTGGTGGAGGAGGGCGTGTCCGAGGTGGGAGGGGAAGGGGCGGACTAAGTGTGCTGCTCCTGCATCTGGTGTTTTGTCTCCTCCTCTTGGTTGGAGCTGCTCTAGGAGATCCAAGAGCAGCTGCTTCTCCAGACTCCCCTCATCAATCAATCCAGGTAATTCCAAACATGGAATACTCCATACCTTTTTTCATATATTCAGCAATGACTATTCTTGTTTTGTTTACTTTTCTCCCAGAAACTGCAGTACACTTTGTTTGCAAACAATGATATGGGAGTTCTTAGTTTTTCTTCCTTGATTACGAGTAAATATTCACAATAATATCATTTAAATCTTTATTGTAATAATTAAGATAATAGACACTTTTTCTTTATATCTAGAATCCTAGAAATCGTCTGATAGTTAATTTTAAAAGTGGATTAAAAGGAATCAAAGCGCATGATCTCAAGAGACCCTCCATGAAAAAGTGGCAATGCCCGATTCACAACGGTATCCTTGAAACCTTTATCTGGTAAATAATGTGGAAGATAATGTTGTTTTTCTAGGTTTAAAAGTATTTAATTCTTTTAATTGATTAATCTAATAAATATTAGTAATCGAGACAAATATTTTAGGGTACCGTTGTGAATCGGGCATTGCGATTACAGCACCTTTACGATATATTTCGTTTAAAGGGCAATAACTGTAGAGTGCAATAAAAATAAAAAATTTGAATTTGCAAAAAAATAATGTTTAAAAATATGTAAAGAACGTACTTTAAAAACATCAAAACATCCATGTTTTTTGCTTTATTTAATCCTGTAAAAGGATATAGATTAAAAAATCCATTAGTAATATAGTGAATGTATTTTTATGCATTCTTATACAATTTTATTTTATCAGCAGTTTATATTAATACATATGGTTTGTATAAAAGAAATGAATTGCTCGAAAATGCGCGAATGTGAGTTGTGAATGCGCGAATGTGAGTTGTGAATGCGCGAATGTGAGCTGTGAATTCTTATTGAACAAATATTAATATTAATTCATTAGAGATCAAAGAGATCAAAGTGGAAATGGTAAATGAACATCCTCCGTCGTTTCTTTATCCGTTTTTTAACTTTCCTTTTTGGCCTTCAAGAGGGTTTTAAAGTTATGAAAAGTTCAAAATAAAATTTTATTGAAATATTCTAAAAATTTTAGGTGTATTCTATATTTAGGTGTGTTACAGTTTATAGTATTTTAGGTGTATTTTAGGCGTATTCTATATTTAGGTGTATTATAATTTATAATATTTTAGGTGTATTTTAGGTGTATTCTATATTTAGGTGTATTATAATTTATAATATTTTAGGTGCATTTTAGGTGTATTATAATTTATGATATTTTAGGTGTAATTTATGAGTATGTACTTAGTTGTATACTATATTTTCTGACAAGGCCAATATATTATTTTTAAATGAAACAATATCAAATTACTTGAAGAGAAAAAGTTAAAATATTATTGAGACATCGTATAATCATGTGTAGCAATTTTAATAACAAAAATCTCTTAATGTTAAAAAAGCACTATGATCATGTAAACTATATTTTTAAGGACCCTGAAAATCCTGATTTCTCCGGAGTTGTGGATTTCAGCAATGCAGTCCCGGGCCCAGATGGTTCATGGTGTATTACAAAGGTAAGACATTTTTATCAGGAAATCCAAAAAACACGAATTTTGACTGCGCACCTATTAAATATTTTTGCTTAACTTGCTAGAACTGATTTGAAATATTATTAATCATAAACCTTTAGTAATCTGTATTTTTAATAATTGAAACCTTTTTTGTGATTTTTAAAAGATCAAAATTTAAAGTCTTAAATCCTGTTTAGATTGATAAAAATTGGATCTAAGATTTATAGATATTCAAAAACCAATCACTTTAAGGAATAATACATAAAAAAAATATGTTCCGATTTATGAGCTTTTCTTCATGTACCTTTTGAGATTGATAGTTTTTTACATAATCTTTTAAAGTACTTACATAAAGTGGCTGAGTGTACAATGCAGTTTCTTTATGCTGGCTTTGTAATAAGAAAGGAAATTAAAATCCTAAAACTAAATCCTGGTTATGCTATGTGCAGGAAATTTGATAAAAAGCGGCCGTATCATCCTTTCCATTTCTTAAAGATTGTCTTCTATCATGTATCCTCGTTTTAGTATTCAGAGAACTGCACAGTTTACGTACAAAATACATAGTTACAAAGTTTAGTAAACTATACATTGTGGCATCATTATGCATACAAGTATTTACTCAGTTTTTTACTTATTTATATGCGGGCCATAAAACACAAAGCTCAGATCTTTGGTATTATTAATTTATTAATAAAACACAGAATAAGTTAAATTCTTCTGGATATATCCATAGTCTGAAGAGCTTCGACTTTTAAAAACTTTAGCTAATCTGTGGCCGAATTTAAAGAATTTGAGCGGCGGTTAAAATTTAAGCCGCGGTTTAAATATGGTTTTTTCCACTTAAAATTGTATCAAATGTTTCAAGATTTCAGCCGGCGCTGAATTTAAACCGGGTTTTGGCGGATTTAAACCGCGGCTCAAATTCTTTAAATTCCATCTCTGAAACCACAATTTCGTACAATAAGCGACTGCACAGCTGTTTCTCACGGATTAAGTTCTCATCTGGGTTGAATTTAACTGTTTAATAAAAGATTATCTAAACATCAGTTCCGACCTTTGTAAAAAAAACATTTGGCAATTTTTTTTTCTTGTTTTCATAGGCTTCATACCACAAACAATTATGGATAATGGAATATTGGCCAATCAATCAATAGAGAAAAAGAGAAGAATGAGAAAAGGGGGGGGAGAGATGAAGAACCCAAGAGGGGGGGGGGTATATATCATCAAATTCATCAAAGATATTGTAAAAAAAAAGATTAATGATGACAGAATATTCTATAAATCCGGATAAAAACTATCAATTCTAGATCTAGAAGAGAATCAGAATTAATGGATTGGAAAATGAAAGGACTCAAGAAAAAAATGAAATCCAAACAATGAACATGATTAATATTAAGTGCATTATTATGAGTTTATTGTTCTTTGAGAAATAAATAAATAAATAATTCCAAAATATTATGAATATAATAATAGCAAAATCACACTGACGAAACTGTTTAGTCTTTGATTAAGCAAGCTGTTACTGTCAATCCCAATCTGATCACTTAAAAAATGAAATCTATCTATATTTTGCTTTTTTTATTTCCATGAATTGAAAACAGAGCTGCGTCTAGTTAATCTAAAAAAAAGTGTGTGTTGTCTCAATCAGTCCTAAAGGCCAATATGCTTTTTTAGATTTATTTGAATTTATTTTTTATTTGTTTCAAACGAATGTGTGGATTGTTAAATTCTTACTACAAGAAAATCATAAATAAGTTATTTTAGTTTTTTTAACAACGTTGTTATAATTATTAATTTATTATTTTACTAACCAATCAGATCAGGATCAACATACCTTTTTTTGCTTTTAAAACACAACAATCTCTTCAGAAGGGGATAATTCAAACGGTGTACTTTCACTGTCTATAGTCTGTACATATTCTGATACTAGCTGCCGATAAATCGGTAATGTACCTAGAATAAACTTGATTTTTCAGTGCTAAATTATTATATTAAAAGTGTGTGTTATTTTAGGATACAGTATCTATGTCTTAAACTAACGATTTTTTAAGAACGTTGCATTAATATATTTTTCCTGATTTAATAACGTAGCAATAAGCTTATTTTAATTTTCTCAGTATCTATATATAAATTTGGCTTGTCTGTCTGTTTGTTTGTTTGTTTGTCTGTCTGTCTGTTTGTATCCAATAAACGTCAAAACGGCTGAACCGATCGGGCCCAAATTTTTTGTGTGACATCACGTGAATACAGGGAAGGTTTATGAATGATAAAAATTTCCATCGAAATTCGGTCTTTATTAAATTTTTGAAAATTTTGAAAATGCACGAAATTTTTTGTGAAAATCCGCGAATTATTTTTGTTTTGTTTTACGATGTACACAAAGAGAACATGTTCACAATTGATTTAAAGGCTAGTATATTATATTTATACTGGAATATTTTATTTATAGGGCAGTACGTTTTATATCATTGTTATATTTTGCATTAAAAATAGGTCTGTTCTCGGTAATTAAAGAATATGAAACATTAACGAATTTTCAAGAGTGTTGCATTAATATAACAACGTTGCTATAAAAATAGAATAATTTGATTTATACTTTCAAAATATATTAAATACGTGGAATATGCAGATATTTTTAATTTGCTTAAATGTATGATAAAACATTTGAGATATTTTTGCAACACTTTTATAAATTAAGTTTTGATCAAGATTTGATTTATTTTTGAATTTTCAATTTTTCCCCATTTATAACGGCGTGTATTTAGGAATAAAAGATAAATCCTTATTTAGAAAAGATTATATCCATGTTAAGATAATACATATATATCCATATTTAGATAAAGTATATTTATCCATTTATCCATATTAGGATAAAATATATATCCATGTATTAATGTTTAGATAAAGTATATATCCATGTATTAATGTTTAGATAAAGTATATCCATGTATTAATTAATGTTCAGATAAAGTATGTTGATCATATGGAAAATGATGAAGTAAAAGAATGCTGGCATCAAAATGTAACCCAATGCCATGACACATACATAACAGGTTATTTTTATACTTTAATTTCAAGCGCCTTCAATTGAAAGAGTGGTACGACCGATTCACAATGTTATTCATAAAATCCTTTTTTTAATGTATGCATGAAATATCCATTTTTTTCTTTGAAAAATGGTGATTTTCAATCGTGGTTTCTTTTTAAAGATAAACTGCAGATTCCTATATTTCCTAATTTATAACGCAGGCATAATAATATTGATCAGACAAAGGTTTAAAGGGTATTACCGTTTTGAACCACTGTAGTTTCAGTAGAAGTAAATATTTCCATTTACTGTTTAAGGATTCATCACTAATTGGATGATGAGATAGATAGAAAGATAGATGGTACCGCCGTACAATTTTTATTGGTTCAGAATAAAGACCACACATATGACAGAACCCTGATTGGATCAGGAGCTAATGGAATCAGCATACAAGTGTATTGGCAATGGGAATGCCCTCTTTAAATGGAATATCAGCTGAAATAACAAAAACAGTTCAACATTTTGTTATTTGGATTCATGAATTAGCTCTTTTTTGAGGGACCACAGTTAGATAATTAATACATAAAGTACTTTATGAGATAATTAATACATAAAGTACTTTATGAGATAATTAATACATAAAGTACTTTATAGATAATTAATACATAAAGTACTTTATGAGATAATTAATACATAAAGTACTTTATGAGATAATTAATACATAAAGTACTTTATATCAAAGCAATCGTACCTTTCGTAGTCTGAATGTTTAATGAGATGTTGTGCATTCCAACATTATTTTCTATTTCCACATTTAAGGGAGGCATTCAGGTTCATCCAAAAAGAATAAGACTTGAATAAAAACATTATAAAACTCTTTAAATATTTTAATATTAAAGTTAGATTGGGTCTTTTTTCTTTAAATGATTTAGTAAAGATTGGAAAGGGGAGCAGAAATAAAGTGTAAAGTTTCAGGGAAGTCGTCACTTAAGACTCATTCTTTGTGGGCCACCCTGTATATATATATTTAAATGCATTTTAAATAGATCTGGTCACCCTTATGTTGGTTTAAAGTTTCAATAAATATACCGCAGTATTTGTTTTTCATTTTTTAGCACCTTTTCCTAGTAGTTTAGTGTTGGATAATGGTGTAATAAAGATCCCACTAAGTGGATTTTTGTAACAACTTTTCGCAACAAATGTTGCAGAAAAAAGTACAAAATTTTACTCTAATAGTCGCAGTTGTCTACGATTTCTATGACGTATTTTCAATTGTCTACGAATTTTACGACTGAATTTCATTATTTTAATTGATACTTTTTGTAAAATGTTACATGCTCCATTCCAAAGGGAAACCCGTTAAAAAAACATTTTATGTTGATTCCCTTTCCTTCTCTGCTGCATGAATCCTCAAGCCAAACATGAATTAGAAATAATCAATATTTAGCTAGAAAAAGAAGAAGAATATTTGGCTCAGAACAAGGTCTAAAAAGCACGCATGTGAATAGAGTGTATGCATGTTTTGATGCTGTTGGTTATTTTAAGTTTTACCAACAGTCCCTTTAAGCTGAATCAATTTACATTGTTTTCATTCGTTATTTCCCGTAAAGAAAAATTAATTATCAAAAATAATTCAAGCTGTTTTGTTCAGAATTTCTGCCGAGCCAAGAACAGAAGTGCGAAGAAACATTTTGGAAATCTTGTAAAATAGATTTTAAAGAGATGCCATTTAATTATACATTGAAGCAGTGCCACACACCACTTGTTAAGGTTTGTCATTTATTCTTAGGAACTTTTGAACGAGTGCTAATTTCAAAGAGAATAGAATATATATTAGAGGGGAATTTACTGGAAAAAAGTGTAAAACGGCCATTTTGTTGTACTGTTTCCATACTGCAGGTGTTCTTCACATATTTATGTTATATAACCTTTTGGGCCCTGGAATATCATTTTATAGAAAATCTAAAATTAATGTTAAAAGAAAACCAAATTATGAAATAGGCTGGTTTGATAATTGACCAATAATCATTTAACATGCATAGATCTATGCCTATAGATCTATATAGGCATAGATCTATAGAACTATAAATCAAATGATGTTTTTTATTCACCTAATTCATTATAAACTTTATTTAACAGCTTTAAAAAATTCGAAATTGAAATGAATAGTCTAGGGAACATACTGTATTAATGTACTCTACTGCATATAATTTGTGAACATTTACATGATTTGTACACTTTGAACTCCCTTTCAGGCTGAAAGGGACTGAAAAAATTCATACCGATAAATTCTCTAAATTCCCCTCTAATATATATTCTATTCTCTTTGGCAAATTTACAGAAATTTATTTCAAAATCCACAACAGCAACTTTAAATTTTAAAATATTAATAAACGGTTGATCTTCTAACATATTCAAAACATTTTAACTTGATCCGCTGGGTTAGAAAGATACGGATGATTACTTTTTGATTTATAACTGAATTAACAATATGAAGTTAAAGAAAGGCAGAAAGGTTTAAAGCTAATATTATTTTTAAGAAATGCGACGACTATGCTAAACCTGCGGAGTACGGCGCTCCTGCTAAAACAGTTTGCAGGTCAATTGAAAATTAAATTTCTATAATTAAATCAACAACCTTTGGATGGTGATATCATTCCAAACAACCAACAAATTAAGGATTCAATAAAAATATTATCTGTTTGTTAGAAAGAATAATTTAAGGAAAAGACTAATTATTTTTCTACAGAAAAAAGGAGGAAAAAAAATCTCAGAATCAGTAATAAATGAAAAACAAATATGTGAAACAACTCAGACCCTTCCCCCCCCCACCCCATATGATTCTTGTCCTCCCCCTTTTACAGAAATAGTGTTTTTATTAGATGATTTTCATTAAAAGTTTTTCATTTCACAATAAGAATCTTTTAAATAGTGTTTTTATTAGTTTATTACTGATGTGATAAAAAATAACTAATAAGATTCGATGATTTTTATTAAAAGTTTTTGATTTCACAATAAGAATCTTTTAAATAGTGTTTTTATTAGTTTATTACTAATGTGATAAAAAATAACTAATAAGATTCGATGATCTTTATTAAAAGTTTTTGATTTCACAATATGAATCTTTTAAATACATTTCTTGAAATTCAAAATATAATAAATCAAATCTCCTTTTTGAATCGAGACTTTAAAGGGACTGTCTACATAATTTCAAATATTGAGGGGTTTGTCCGATTCACAACGGTACCCTTCAAACCTTTTTCTGATCAAGGATGAAGAAGATATCCTTATTTGATTATTTTCAATTGTGGTTTTCTGTAAAAGTGGCTTGCAGATTGAAAATGTCAGAATTTAACACTTTCCTAGATAAAAAACAAAAATATTATCCTCATTTTTTCTCAGATCAATGTTTAAATCTTTAAAAAGGGAAATCCAACTGGTTCCAAAATATTTTTCAAAAATTTATAAAAACTTTAAGTTACGATAAATTGAAAAATGTAGTCCATTAGATTTTAATCTTAACAATACAGTTTTTCTCGTTTTTCTTGTTAATCTAACAAGTTTTGGACCATTGCTTGATAAATGATTATTAAATTAAATATGATACTTCTCGCAAAATTGGAAAATTTGCAAATAGCAGAAATATATTTACTGGAGCGTGTAGGTTCTCTTGTTAAAATAGTAAATAAAACTGCTTATAATTGTCCCTGAAATTTCAAGGTAGAAGAGTATCAAATATCAAATAGATAAACTTAGGACGGTGGAATAGAATCTGTACACCAATGTTGTTCTGTAAACAATTAATTAATTAATAAATTAATTAAAGAATTTAGTAAACAAGGGGGCTCAGTTAAAGTTATTTAGTGACCGTTATTTTTACAGGAATCATACTTTAAAAATTAGGTTGACAAATTAATATCGCAATTTTCAACTTTTATTTCATATTGGTAAAAAACTCTGTTTTTAAAATAATATTTAAAATCTTTAATCTAATAAACTTGTTATACCTAATTTGAATCAGAGTGAAATAAAACTATTATTTTTTCGTAATTGTTATCATTAAAACTTATTAAATATTGTTTATTTTTCAGCTTCTAAGGACATGGTTTGAATCTAAATGTCGCTGTAACAGTACCATAACTGAAAAACCCCATTTTTTGCATTTTCTAAATACTTTCAGAAATATAATTTATGATTTAAATTTTTTTTAACACCCCTACGACTTGGATTTCATCTAAGTGTAACAGAACCTATAAAACACAACATAGGTTTTAATTGCCATGTAAAAACTTTACCTTTGTGGACAGCGATAGCTTTTTATTGTCATATAAGAAACATCATATTTATGCATTTTCACAAAACCTTGATTTTGATTTGTTTTGAACACCCCTAGGACCTGGTTTGAATCTGAATGTAACACAACCTATGTGGACAGCCCTAGTGGGGACCTGAAACCCAATACTTGGTGTCAAAAGAAACCAAGAAAAATTTGTGCACCAGACAACTGTAATATGATCCAGGTATAATTTTTTTTATTCTTTAAAAGTTAAAAAGAATTCTGGATTCATTGAAAAATACGTGAAGTTTCAGTCCTGAAATAAGTAAATTCTGCAATTTTTATTTCAATTCCAAATTAAATTGTTTTTTTTTATTCTACGAGACACTGTGAGAAAAATTTACTTTCCTTATTTTTGTCATTTAAAATATAAAAGAGTCATGTATTCAGAAACTAAATTAAATGAAAAGTAAAAATAGCTAGTTACTGATGGTTCAACCACATCCTGCTGGTTCAACCATAAGTCATAAATTTTGTGTTGTTAAAATATGGGGATCAAGCATTGATCTCCATGCTGTTTTGCAGACCTACAGATTTATTTGATTCCTCTTTTATATCCCGTGCAGGTCTAATATCTTGAGGGATAAAGCTATTATCCTTAAATAAAAAATGCCTATTTTGGATTTTTTTTATTAAATCTGGTCCCAGAAATTGTATCCTATCCTGAGATGGAATTTAAAGAATTTGAGCCGCGGTTTAAATCTGCCAGAACCCGGTTTAAATTAAGCGCCGGCTTACATCTTGAAACATTTGATACAATTTTAAGTGGAACCTACCATATTTAAGCCGCGGCTTAAATTTAAACCGCCGCTCAAATTCTTTAAATTCGGCCACTGGTTAATCTAATTATATTATGTTTAAAGTTTAAAGTTTAAACCTGAGTACTACTTTGTCTTCATTTCAAGGATCCAGATGTGTATAGTAACAAATAGTTAAATTAAACAGTACCAAAAGTTTTTAAAGTTTTAGGGCAGTTTTAGGATACAACTTAAGCATGGTAGAAAAACTATAACTTCCAAATGTGCTTTTAATGTTTCCAAATGTTAAAATTATCATTGTTGCTCAAATAAAGTTTTTTTGTGATTATTGTGATTCAGACACTTTTAAATTGAAATGGGAGTAACTTGAAATTACATAGTTTAGGTTCTAATGTTTACAAGGAAATAGGGAATTGTGATAAAAAATGTAAATAAATGGGGAGGGGGGGGGGTTAGGAACTGTTGCTGTCTCACCCCCTTCAAACCACTTCTGACATCGGTTACGCGGTTAAAACTATAATAAAATAAACGACAAAAAAGATTGATTTAAAAAATGTTAAAAAATGTAGATTATAATCCACAGGTTTACTATACAGAGGGATGCATGATGCCAATACCACAGATGGGATTTTAATTAGTTAAATTATCACAGTGGGCGGTAAACAGGAAGAATTACGAAGAGAGGAGAAGGGGGGGGCAGGAAGAGATAAATCGTTTGTATATGTATATGTATATATCATGAACAATCTAAGAAATACTCTATATTCTATAAAATCTAAGAAATACTCTATATTCTATATAATCTAAGGAAAACTCTATATTCCAAATAATCTAATGAATACTCCATATTCTATATAATCTTAGGTCTACCCTATATTCTATATCCAAGGAAAACTCTATATTCTATAATTTAAGGACTACTTTATATTCTATATAATCTAAGGGAAACTGTATATTCTATAATCTTAGGTCTACTCCATATTCTATATAATCTAAGGAGTACTCTATATTCTAAATAATCTAAGGGTCCTGAGGATTGTAGGGATAAAGTAATGATCTCTACAATACAGAAACCTGAAGAACATTGTACCCTTCAACCTCAGAGACATTGCAGACTTATCACCAAACTGGTAAACAAAACAAACTCTATTTCCACCCCAACTAAAATATTCGCTATCTGACCCCCCCCCCCCTTTCTTTGGAAAGCCTCGAGTGATTCTTTCAATTTCAATTTTGAATTAAACGGAACCCCTCGTTCATTTAATAATAACCATTTATCTTAAAGGGAGACTTTAGTGTCAGCGTAATTTCAAATGACCGCATGAAGACATGTAATGAAGACATGCAATGAAGGCATGCAATGAAGGCATGCAATGTCTGTTTCAAAGCAGTACCCTTAATAATGTCTCCGCAAGATGAACAATGAAGATGGACAAGTTTTCTCTGTTTGTATCCTGCATTTTTCTTGTTTTACAAAGTACAACCGTATGCAGTCAAAACATAAACAAACAAAATGTAAACATAGCAGACGAAACTCTTACCGATTAAAACTTTCTCAATTGGTATCACTATACTAAATCAAAGAATTATTTAAAAAGACGATATCTAATTCGTCACTGAATTCCCATGTTTTTTGGGACACCCTGTACCTTTATATGATCATTCAGATAATTCCAATATGTTTTCCTTCAGTAGAAATGCGCAAATCACTTTTGTAGAGAAACCACAATAAAATTTTTTTTTTTTCAAAATGATTAACATTGATAGCTAATTCATACTTGATTATACACCCTGTACCTTTATATGATCATTCAGATAATTCCAATATGTTTTCCTTCAGTAGAAATGCGCAAATCACTTTTGTAGAGAAACCACAATTGAAAAAAAAATATTTTTCAAAATGATTAACATTGATACCTAATTCATACTTGATTATACAAAGGGTACCGTTGTGAATTGGCAAATGACATCATCTTTGCATGAAGGGATACTTGAAATTACACTTACAGTCCCTTTTATTATTTTTATTTCTTTATGGATAATTAAGGGTAGAAAAGATTTATATCTTTGAAACGAAGAATGACCCATCTTCAGAGATTGTTTCTGTTTTTTTTTACGAAATCACTTAGGTCCTATTTTATATTAAAAAAATTTAGGTCTTATCCGGTTTACAACAGAAATATTTAATGGATTTCGAATGACAGATCACAATTTGCTTAAAGAAACTCAATCTTTTCATGTTGAGATTAAAAAAGAAATATAAACAAAAAAAGGTTTAAAAATATTATTTTTTTAAGGTTCCTCATCTGACTACCAAGGAGGTGTGCAAAGAAATCCCTAAAGAAATCTGTGTCATGAAACTTGTAAATCCTCACCCTGTTCAGGTTTAACATTTCTATATTTTTTTCATAATTTTTTTTCTTTTAAAGGGATTGTTTTCCTACCTAAAAATGCATGCAGTGAGAGCCAGAATAGAGTGGGATCCTCGTTGTCTTCTTTTTATTTATATTATGAAAGAATTTTTGTAAAATTCTAACTTATTTATTTCTAAAAAATAGTTCAGTTGAAAATTACTAAATTTATTTTGAATATGTTTAGAATATTCTGTAAAATATATTTCTCTATTTATGAAAAATCTGTCATCTCTGTTTGAATTATTATCCTACATTAGCATTTTTAAATTGAAACAGATAAATTTTTTTACTCCTGGTGACAGATTGTAAAAGGATCTTTTTATTCATTTATACAACTTTTGTATTGAAGTATTAAAATATAAAGGTTTCTAAATAATATTTTTTAATCTGAACGTTTAGTCCTGACCTTAGTGAGATTCATAATAATAAAAAAAACAAGTTTTGCATGTTTTTTTTTAAAAAATATTGATTACATTCAATTGTGGCCTCTTTTTCAAAGTCAATTGCGGAATTTGTTACAGAAACAACGGATGAAGATGCCAGAGTTAACCACTTTTGAAGATAACGTCTTTTACTTTCTTAAAAAATCAAATATATTAATTACTCTCTGTTTACGTTATGAATTACTTTCTGCCTTCTTACCATTCATGCTGCTTTTCTTTATAGTTTTATTTTATTTTTTAAAATTCTTTATAAATTAATTTAAGAATTTGGTAAACAGGGGGGCTCAGTTAAAACAGCCCCAGAGTATTGAGTACGCCTGCTGGGGAAAATATTACTTTATATATTGAAGTCATAAATATTGTTTTTCTGCAGAAATAATGATTAGATTTGATTTAATTTTATCCTCCATATTATTGAGCTAACAACTATTAAAGAGGACCTTTGTTAATCAGGTTCTTCTTTAACTGGGGGTCACGTGAGATTACAACGTCCGTACCGTTTTTATAAATCTTTAAATTAAAATTCTTATTTGTTCCAGAAACCAATCCAGCTGAAGTGGTGCACCAAGAAACCGCCCCAGGATAAACTACCTTCATATGCTCCCCCCACCAGTTATCTGCCCTCCGCCAGTAGTTATAATCCCTCTCCGCCTCAGTATACGCCCTCTTACACTCAGGTACAATTTAATTCTCATATTTTATGATAAACAATCTTTGTTGAGTTGTCTTTAAGATATTTTGATCCAAATTGCCAGAAACGATAAATAAAAATAACACTTTTTTTTAAAAATGCAAAATGTAATTAAAAACTTACTTTAAAAGTCCCTTTCGAGAAGAACCTTTAACAGTTTTAAAAATTTTTGTTCTGCTTTTTTGGTATGAATGTTGCACTTAAAAAAAAGAAACTGTCACCGCCCCTTCCCTCATTTTTTCAGTGAGACTCATAACACAGTGTAACCAGAAGACGCCATTTAAGCAATCGAATGTGTAGATTACTTTGTAAAGCAAATATGTATTAGTGAAATAATACTGTGTACACTATTAACTGCACAATTGCTCGGTTTCATATTCAGTGAAATATTTAAAAACTTTTGTCTTACAGTCGTCTTCTTAATCTGCAGTTTTATGAGTCCCACTGTATAATTAACTAGCCTGTCCTCATTAAAGTCCCAGGATCTGCCGTCCTACTTGAAGCGTGAGGACCAGGACGTGTACCAGGACCAAGACCAGTACCAGGACCAGCTCGTTTTTGTTGAGGACAATGATTTTGACAACAATGTTCTATCCGACTATGCTCAGATCCCCCTTCCTCAAGGTATACCATACGAACCATACATTCACCAGAAAATACATAAAATGCAATTTCATAAAGCTATAGAGTAAAAAATAATTAAGAGTGTAATTTTATTCATAAGAGTAACCAGAGGAGATTTTTACTGAGATCCCCCTCCCTCAATAAATAACATCAAAAAAGCAGAAAATAAATTGATTGTAATCGATCACAGAGTATATTTAAATTTATAAGAAAATAAGTATTCAAACATGATTTGAAGTTAATATATAAAGTGGATTTTAGTTGCAGAGTAGAAAATAGATAGAGTAGAATTATACTTTCTATTATTCAACCTCTTTACTTTTTTCATAGATCAGGGTTTTTTGTAATACTCCCCCCCCCCACTTTTAATTTGATTGTACCATACTATATGATATATATTTCTGTGATAAACCTTACAATGGAACTCTCTAGTTTTTCTACAAATACAATGATGACCATTTATCTTCCGAGCATCAGCAAATTTTTTGCAGATTTTCTGCTATTTTGTGAGTTTGAAGAATAAGACATTACAACTAGGGGTTTCAACGCAAGTGGAGTTAAATTGTGCGCAATTGTGAGCCCTTTAATTCCGAGCAATTGTGGTCAATTTCAAGAAATTTTGCGCAATTTCGCGCAACGAAATTTTGATTGATACCCTAGTTACAACCAAAGTGAATAAATACTAAAGTGGACCAAACTCATAGTTGGATGACGACATTTTATGTCCCAAGTATTTAGAAATATGTATATATATATATATATAAAACGTACAAAAATTTTTGATTTTAAATCGTGAAAATTTCGAAGTTCTATCTGAAGACGACATTTACATGGGTCTTTAGTCTATTTTTTTCTAGTCTTTACTTTCCAAATGAAATCTTTTCATGAAATTATTTCCAAACCAAATAAAACCTTATGGCCCAACCTGTCGTCGTTTCCTTAGTCTGTTCCACTTTAGTATTTATTCACTTTGAGTTACAACTTACAAAACAAGACTGGTATTACCGCGATGGTTTGTTCGTTTTGAAGTACGGTAGAACTACGGGAATTTTCTTAGCATGGTTTAAAATTTACAATTGGGTTGGTTGGCTTTTAAATGGAAAACTCGAGGCAAAGCTTGGCTTCCTAGATAGTCTTCCTTAGTTATATTTTTAATGATATAATTCCCATTTATTGAACAATTGATTACATTGCGTCTAAGATTTTAAATACGGGTTGTTTTAACAAGATTTTCATCCACCATAGAAAGTTGAAAATAGGGATAATTAGCCTCTAATTTGGCCTTGGCAATTAGTTAACTTACTTAATAGTTGGAGTATAATAGACCAAAGATTTAAATCTCGTCATATGAGTTGCCACAAAAAAATTGGGTCCGAATTGGTTTGCTGTAAAAAGTATGATGAATAAAAACAAACAGACAAGCTTATTACAACTATAGATTGCTTTCTAAAAAATGAAAAGATGTCATTTCAGAGTATTTATAGTTTTATTTATATATTCTATATTTATAAAATCATGAATGCTCTGACTCTGGGTCGGGAAGTTTTATTCTTGTTTATCTATTGTTATGTACACGCTCTTTAAAACTGACATGTACACTGTACAGGACCCCCTTCTTTCCGTGGAATCAGACAGGATGTTGTAGAAGTTGAAACTCCTCGGTTTACCAGGTACATTTGAAGATTTAAAGGAACTGTTTTCAAAAATAAAATAAAAATAAGAATAATTTGAGAATCATGATTTCTCAGACCCGGACCTCCTCACTGCCTTATTAATAATTACTTAATTTTCAACTCGATCCTCATATTTTATGATACAGGCTTATATACAGGGTTGCCTACAAGGGATGAGACTTTAAGAACAACTGGAGACTCATTACATTTAGCAATTTTCAGAGTGAACTTATGAATGTAGCCTAGTTTGCTATTAAAAAAGAAACAGCTGCATTAAACTATGAATCTGACAAAGACTGAATAACGTTCTACAGTCGTCTTTGAAGTCTCATCCTTTGTGGGTAACCCTTGAAGTTCGTTAGCATTACTTCAAACAACTTCAGCACACTAGTTTTGTTTTGTTTTGTTTCTATAAATATTCAAAATTACTGTCATTTCAAAAGTTTTTACTGAGGTAAAGATATTTTCCGCAAACTAACTGAATACTCGCCACAAAATCTATTTTTTAATTTTCCCTATCTTTGCAACCTTTAATACAATAAAACTATGAGTTCTGCTAGATATAATTAGAAATACTAAACGTTTACATCGTCAGGTTGTAGAGATATAGGGATGAGAAAATGTAAGTGTAGGGTGAGTAATCAGTTTCTTTAATTAACAAATCTAAAAACTATAATTTCTACAGGCAAACCAAGCAGCCTCTGGCCTTTCCTCACATGAAGCCTGGATTCAACCCAGACCATGCCAAACCAAACCACCCCACACCAATCAAAACATCTGATCTTAGTGGACAAGGATCTGAAACTAAGGTGTTAATTTTTAACGGAAAAAAATCAAATTGATAACAAAAAGAAATATTAAAGGAATTTAGTCTTTGCACAAATTCGATTTTTGTAATCCTTATATCTTTGCAACCTGATGATTTAAACCTTTGCTATTTCAAACTTACATTATTTGATCTAACAGCATTTTTAGCTTGAAATATTAAAGGTCTATGGCATTGGGTTGAAATGAAAGTGAAATTAGAAAATCAGAGTTTGTAAACAAATTCTTTTGTGTTAAACACAGTTTTTTGTAACAATTTGTTGTGTTCGATTTATGCGAAAATTGCTAATGACATTTCAACCTATCGAAAACTCTAATAGAACTTAAAGAATACACTTATGACAGTCCTCATTATGCAGCTCACTTAGTCTCCTTTTGACTAAATATTTAGACTTTTTGCACTTCACAGATTTTCCAGTTTTTATAGGCCAATTTAAAGATAACAAATCTAAGGAGGTTTCATTTTCAAATGTTGACCGGCCCTGCCGCCTCTTAGCAGGGTCATTTCTGGTTCTACAGAAATTTGTACCCGATCGGTTAATCTGTTTATTGGAAACAAATAAATAAATAAACTACAGACATAAATAGATAAGTGTTGAATCTTTTTGAGAATAATCTAACTCATAAATTTTAAAAGATAATTGGTTTCTCACAGGATCAACTATTAAAAAATTCCGATCTCTGACTTATGATTTTATTTTTTTTCAGGTTCAGATTGTGAAACCTCAACCTGGTAGTAATATTGCTCTTAGAGTACCTACTTTCCCTGGCAATCAATTAATGAATAAATTAATCAATTTATTTTAGCTCACAATCAATTAACTAATTTCTCGATTACATAATTAATTAAAAAACAATTAATTAACCTTTTCATCAATTATTAATTAATTAACTAATCAATAGGAAATAAGTTAACAAATTTATTCGTCGATAAATTCATAGATTCGTCAATTACTTTATCCTAATCAATCAACTAATATTTAAGTTTATTAGATAATGTATTCGTAAATCAATCAATTTGAAATAAAACGATTTTTAAAACAATATTTGCTCTCAATATAAAGGGATAATAAGATTTTTGTATTAATTGTCATTATTAATTGATTTTATCAGTTACAGCAAGAACAATCACAACTGAGGGAGTTAAATTATTAAATTAAAAAAGATTTACACATTATTGTTCTGAAAAAAACGATTTAAAGACATTTTTTTATGGATTTTCTTCTTTTAAATTTTAATTCTGTCACAGACTAACCCAACAGTAGATTCGTCTACAACGTTCTCCACAACATCTTCAGTAGCATCTTCAGTAGCATCCTTATCCACATCCTCTTCCACCTCATTCTCTCCTTCTCCCTCCTCTCCTCTTCCCTCTGCTCCAACTACGTCGTCTTCCTTCAGGAACAACCAGTTTTCAATCAATTAATCAACTTAAAAATTCAAATAAAATGATCAATTTGACGTAGAAGATCGAGCTGCTTTAAAAAAAGTTGTAGCAAAGATGTGATTCTAAAGCAACATGTCCATTTGTTTATTAATCATTAAATTCATTTTACTGGAAATTGTTAAGACCTGCGCATGTTTTCGAAACCAATCACAAAACCATCTCAGAGACAAGCATAGGAGAGAACTTGGTCCCTGATCCTAACCTGGAACCTGAGAGAGCTGTCAGAAAACCCCGGCACTTCACTCCATCCTTCTCCACTTCCTCCAGTCTCAGGTAAACTTAGCACTTCTCCACTTCCTCTAGTACAAGGAAACCCCGGCACTTCACTCCATCCTTCTCCACTTCCTCTAGTCTCAGGTAAACTTAGCACTTCTCCACTTCCTCTAGTACAAGGAAACCCCGGCACTTCACTCCATCCTTCTCCACTTCCTCTTGTCTCAGGTAAACTTAGCACTTCTCCACTTCCTCTAGTATAAGGAAACCCCGGCACTTCACTCCATCCTTCTCCACTTGTCCACGTCCTCTAGTATCAGGTAACCCCGCCACGTCTCCCAATCTATCTCCACTTCCTATAAACTTAGGTAACCCTGAATTTTCTCCACTTCCTCTGTCGTAGATACCTTTGGGACTTATCAACTCTAGTCTGAGGTACCCCTTGCATTTCTACACTCTAGTCTCAGGTTTCTCTGGCACTATTCCACGTTAGTCTTAGGTAGACTTGGCACTTGTCAACCCTAGTCTCAGGTACCCATGGCACTTTTCCACTTTAGTCTTAGGTACATTTGGCACTTCTCCATTCTAGTCTCAGGTACACTTCTTATCTTTAGTGTAAGCTATTTTGGTACTTTTCCGTTCTAGTCTCAGGAACTCGTGGCACTATTCCACTTCCTCTAGCATTAGGTAGTGGTACCCTTTGTACTTTTCCTGTCTCATGTACCCTTGGCACTTCTTAACTTCAAATATATTCTTCTCAAATATTCTAACTTGGATACGTAGTTTTAATAAATCAAATAGGTTTTAAAGAGAATTTCTAATAAACTTAGAATAAATCCATAAAATATCATTAAATCAAATTTGATGAAACGAATTGGATATTAATGACGCAAATTTATTTTTCCTTTTTTAGAAACTATCCTGGATCTATTCTGTAGAGCATCTTTGGGGTCCATTCTGCAGAAACTATCCAGGATCCATTCTGCAGAAACTATCCTGGATTCATTCTGTAGAAACTATCCTGGATCCATTTCGTAGAAACTATCCTGGATCCATTCTGTAGAAGCTATCCTGGATCCATTCTTTAGACCACATAGAAGATCCATTCTGCAGAAATTGTTACGAATCCATATTCTACGAAAATTATTCCTGTTCTGCAGAATCCATTCAATAGAGTATTACATCGGCTCCATTTTACAAAATGTTTTGTCCATTACCTTCTTTTTAATTTTTGCTCCACTTTGTAAAAATATATAAAATATATGCTTCATTTCTAGTAAAAAAGTATTCTTTCAAAAAAGAAGTTCTTCCAGTTTGTTTAGAATTTTCTTTTTCATGTTAACCAACACTTAGCTTAACTAAACCAATTTTAATTCGCATCAAACAATTATTAATCTTTATTTAAATTTAGGCCTAAAAGATTACTCAACAAAATTGTTCTAGTCCCAACGGGCATTCTCAACACTTACCAGAGTACTATTTAGATTTCACTGTTAAACTTATTTATTTATTTCAATATCTTTTCTTTCAGGAATTTAATAACCTTAAATTATATTTATAATGATATTTATATTATTTTGAAATAAAAATATGAGATTGAAAACATCCTTTATTTAAAATATGTAAATACGTAAAAAATTGTAAGTATGTTAATTTTATTTTTTAAATATCTCGGAATCCCAGCTTTTCATGTAGTTTTCCTAAATAAGCCAAACCAATCAACTTAGAACTTATATACCATTCCGTGGTCTATCGAATTCCCCGATAAAATTTGAGGCAAATCGGTCAAGTGGTTCATGAGTAATTTTCGCAAATACGTAAAAACAAACAAACATATACTTTATGTAAATAGATTATTTGATAATTTTACACTTATAAAAACAGAAGTTGATAAAATAAAACAAAAAAATATTTGATAACTTTTTTACATTGAGCTGATCAATCCAGCTGCATTGTTCAAAGGATTCAGTGATTAGTAATCAAATGTTCATGATTTTGCCAAAGTTTTATAATCTGGGATTTGGAAGATTAGGATTTGATATTATTGGGTTTCCAATCCACGCTTTCATCCTAGTTGATCTTCTTACAAGAACTGGTAAATAGTATCCTCCTAGAACATCAACAACAGAAATAGAAATAATAATTCATTATTTTATTCAATGTTTCAAGTAACTTCCTGAGATTTTTTCCCGTAGACCGGTGCCTTCATGGATTGACATTAAAAACTCGCCTGCCCTTTTTTGAAGCACTATTTTTTTACATTTTTAACCAACAACACTTGTGTGTCGTGCTTTAGATGAAAAAGGTAAAAGTTTAAATTCGAATTGTTAAAAACTGCACCATTTTGAAAATAGAATATTCTGGATTGTCGAATGTAACATAAGTAACGTCAGTTTTTACAACACATATAACTTCAGTTTTACAACAATTTGAACACAATTCTAGAGATAAACACGCGGATGATATTTACCCTTGATGATCAGGAAAATGGTTAAAGGATATTGTTGAAGGCATTTTCCTTCTTGAAATTGCGCTTTCGCTTAAGGGTTGACACAAAAATAATAATTTTTTTATTTTAGAAAATTAAAAAGTATAATACACCATAAGGATTAAAGAATTCAAAGATTCTATTTTCGAAGATATAAATAATTCAAAGTATTTAATGTTTTCCCTAAACCAAGTAGAAGTAGAGCAGATACGACCAAACTAAGCTCATGATAAAAGGGTAGCTGTGAACCGATCAGATCTAATAAGATCTTAATGAAAAACCTAAATCCAGGAGTTGATGTTTTCTTATAAATTACGCCGCACCCACTCACTTTCTTCTTCTATGTGGTTTAGGTGTTAGGTACTTTTCCAAAGACATTTTCCCAAGGGCGACTTCCCAAGCATCAATTTCCCAGGCGCTGCAGGCTGCAAATTGGGCAGAGCGCGCGCTGCGGATAGGATGGGCTAGGGGGCCGAGTGCTACAGCTATAATAGGCTAGGGGGCCATGCGTTGCGGCTAGGACAGACTTATGAAATTGCCGCTTGGGAAATTGCACATTTGGGAAGTTGCCACTTGGGAAAATACCATTGGGAAGTTACAAATTCGGAAAATGTCTTTGGGAAAGTACCTAACATCAATTTCCCAAATAGTCGGATTTAATTTAAGAATCATATGCTTGATTCCTCAATTAAATTTATCTCTACAAGGTATGACCAATTCATGGGATATCGAAGAGGACCTAAATTTTCCTGTTGGTCTGTATAAGATCCCGCAATTCACACAACACATTAGTTCTAACTTCTGGATTAATTTGGCGTCAATATTATAAAAGGGGCACGAGTTGGAAAACATTTCCCCTGCCTATAATTAAGATGATCGGGAGGAAACAGGACTGTAACAGAGAGGACGGGGATAAGGACAAGAACTGTGATTAAGTCCTAACAGTGGGGATGAGCATCAGTTTTAAAAGATAAAAATGACAATTTTTCGTTTCGTCATAAAAAAAATATATATGAAAACGATTTGCTATGATTGTCAACGATTATTACATTTAACGAACCAAGAAATCATACCAAAATTTCGTTTTCCCAAAACGCGATACTAGCAAAAACTATTGTTTTCAAAACAATCGTTTTGTTTTTAAGTATTTTTTTGTGGTTAACGAAAAAAAGTTAAAAAGTAAAAGCTGCCCATTCCTACCTGGTTGATCAGTTTTACAAGATGATATAAAAGAAACAAAAAGGAAACAGCCATAATTTGTTTAGTATTACTAATCTCCTGTTCATGAAAGGTTACACTTGTCAACAGGAGGTTCTGAACAGCAGAATTCAGTTCGGAGTTTGTGAAATGTTTGAGTTCAGACAGTTCCTTGGATTCATGCTGCTGTTTAGAGTCAAGCAGTTGTTTGGATTCAGGTTGCTGTTCGGATTCAGTCTGCAGTTGTTTAGATTCAGGCTGTGGTTTAGAGTCAAGCAGTTGTTTGGATTCAGGTTGCTGTTCGGATTCAGTCTGTTGTTTAGATTCAGGCTGTGGTTTAGATTCAGTCTGTTGTTTAGATTCAGGCTGTAGGTTTGATTCAGGCTGTGGATTGGATTCAGTACACTTATTTTTCTCAATCTTTGAGTAGTTGTTGTCAATTGACGGAGCAACAGTAATCTAAATTAAATTTAAAATTTAGTGATCGAAATGTATATTTTTATATGTTTAGGCCCTTGACAATTGCATATATTGTTCAAATACATAAATTTTTTTAGATTTTTTGTAGCAGCTACACGGAATATTATGCTTTACTGTTGCTTTACGAGAAAGATTTCAAACTTAATATCTTCACTCAAATATTTTGCCTTTTAAAAGTATTGTGAAACACAGACGTAGAAACGGTTAAACTCCTCTGGCCTGAATTTTAACAGGTGATTGATGCCGATGAAAATATGAAAAAATTCTAATTTGATTATTTCAAAAATCGACCAAAAAATAATCAAAATAGTCCGTATCAGAATTTAATGAATTTAAGCCGCGTATCAAATCCCACAAAAACCGGTTTTAATTGAGCACCGGCTTAAATCTTGAAAAATTCAATACAATTGTAAGTGAAAGAAACCAAATTTCGGCTCAAATTCTTTAAATTCGGCCTCTGGGATATTAAAATGCAAAACGACTAAAAAATAGTTAAGGCAATCTGGAAAATGCAAAGTAGATATGTAGCAAAAAGCGTGTAAACATGATCTTCTGTAAACTTGCAGTACGTTGTACGTCATAAATGATTTAATGTTTTAAACTTAGACATAATGAAATTATTCATTCCAACTGCGTTTCAATCGAATACTTAACATGATTAGCTCAAATCAAGCGACATACTTAAATTACGCTATAAAATACGGATCGAGATAGATTAGCTGCGTTATATCTCTTTAATCCTTTAGATATCTACCTTAAACTTTAACTGAGCGATAAATACGTAATATTATGGTCTTAATCATGTGATATCAATAACATCGTAGGAATTTAATTACATTAATTCCTGTTAACCTTGTAACCTAAGCCATTGAATAAAGTTAGTTGATTGAGACTCTGCTTTGATTACGGAATTAGAAGTAGTCTGTGTTCTCGTTGAAACAAACGAGTGTAAATTTTGCCTAGCTGATTGGCAATTGAATCGAATATAGCTTGAAAGGATAGCTTGTGATATCGTTGAATTATACGAGTGAAGATTGTGCCTTGAGTATATGGCATTGAATCGAATACAGTTTGAAAGATAGCTTGTTATCTCATTGAATTATACGAGTGGAGATCTTGCCTGGATAATTAGAAATCTGATAGAATTCAGATTGAAAGATAGCTTGGGTACTTGTTGAATTATACGAGTTGAGATTTGAACTGTGTGTCCTTTAGAATTTAGATTGAAAGATAGCTTGGGTCCTTGTTGAAATATACTAGTTGAGATTTGGACTGTGTGTCCTTCAGAACCAGGGAGTTAAGCCTGGTTGAGAAATTGCCTGTGTAGCAATTTTAATAGCCAGTGTGGCTTTTATGGCTAGGGAGTTAAGCCTGGTTGAGATTTGGGATTGTGCATCCTTTGGAACCGGAGAGTTAAGCCTGGTTGAGATATTGCCATTGTGGCATTCAGAAACGAAGAGTTAATCCTGGTTGATCTTGGCTAGGAGAAGATATGGATAGATACGTCTCGAGTAAAACTGTTATGGAGTAGATATTTGCTACATATATAACAAGTTGAACAAGGGTTTAAGATAACAACAAGTACAAGATTATTCACAAGATGACTTCAGAGACAAATATGCGAAATTTATCTAAAATTTTTCTTTACATTCATGGTTCTCTACTGGTGTAAACATTTTTTGCTTTACCAAATCATTTAGTTTCATAAAAATGAACCTTCTTATCGGCATTTAAAGTCGTTATTATAGTCTCATCCTTTGTAACTCTGTACTTAACAATCATTTCAATATCAAGAACAAATCAACCTTGCTTATAAATGAATTTTAATCTTTTTTTGCATAATAAAATTAATTTCTAATAATTTGCTTTGACCTGAGCAAGAACAGCTTGATGGTCTGAGTAAGAAAAGTGTTTCCCTGGCCCACAAAAATGATACATTTGTTGATGAATATTTTTGAAAAGCTTTTCAAATATTTTTGGTTGAAATGGGATTAGATAAAATTTCACTTTCTTGATTTTTGAAAATATTCATGTTAATTTAAGTATCCCTGGTATTCTATATGGTAAAGGGTCTGTGCACCTAAAAAATGTGTATGCAGGGTTTCCTCATTATCATTGAAATTAGGACTATTATTGTTTGACAGTTATCTAAAATTTAAAAAGTATTAATCAAAAATAATTTGAACATTGAAGATTTTTAGGAATTTTTAAATCGTGCAAATGTTTTTAATTTTGAAAAGAAATGTAAGAAAACATCGACTTTGTACAGTGCAAGACCTTAAAACTGTTGGATGGGAAGACGACTATTAAACTAAAATTGTGATTTTAAGAAATCAAATGAAAATGAAAGACAGCAATTCTGCAGTTTACACGTTCAGAATTTCAGATCCTTTCCACTTAAGAAGTTGATTTTCAGGATAATTACAAAAAATGGAATTAATTCATATAATATTGTTAAAAGGTCGTCTTCCTATTTCACAGTGTTTTGGTTTCCAGTGTAGTAACAATTATTTGCACCAATACAGTCCGGCAATCATAGGAATTAACAAAATATGTCTCTAAAGATCAATGATCAATTATTAAATTTTAAGGTTTAAAGGCTATATAGCATGACATTGTCATTGATATTCTTAAAATATAACTAAAAACATTAAATATTGACTTTCTCCAGAGAATCAAATTCATATGATACACCCCTCAGAAAAATTCCAAAACAATTCCTTCAACTTAAACGACCTGGATTCGACAGCTCTTAAAGATAAGGATGAGGAGTAGAATACGTAATCCAAACAAAGCGGAGCTTCTGAAGGATCCTTAAATATCGAAAACTAAAAATTCTGAGCTATCGGTGGCGTACTGTGATTATACATAGTACATACAGGATGTCCCACAAACCATGACAGTTGAAAAACAGTTTTAAGGTCGTCTTTGATCTTTGAAATAGTTTGCGGCATTTAAGTTCGCAACCATGATTAGAGAAGAAAAATGGTTAATTCTCAAGATCCCATTGTCCTGGCGTTTCCAAAACGTGGTCTGCCTTTTATGTGCACTTATTTAATGACCAAAACTCTATAAAATGTCGTTCAGATTTCCCTTTATCGAAAAACCAAAATTGTCAAAATCTGGTCTAAATTCATCTAAATTCATTTCTAACAACACAAGTCTCAAATTTTGCAAGTTTGTCAGAAAACAACACAATAGACAATTAATTAGAAGCTTCTTGGAAATTCAGTTTTTGATTGGAAATTTACTAAAACTTTTAATAAGAAGAGGTAGGAGATGCATTTAATGATAAACTGCTGGGGTGCTAAAACTGGAAATCATTTCTTTATAGATTTTGAAGTTTTGAGTGATGGTCTATGGTCAGCTAAATAACTTGGACTTTTATGAATATTTTTAGTTTAAAAATTAATAAGCTAGCTCAAATTTATAATTTGTAATTAGAGCTTGAAATAAAGAAAGTTTTTTGTTTGTTAAATGACATCTATTTTTTCTGACTCCCCTACAAAAAGATTTAAAAAATTCTGCCAAAGAGACTTGGGCATCTTATTGTAGAAACAATTTGGGAGATATTATCAAAATTAAACTCTTTTCAAGTTAATAAAAAAATGACAACATCATCTTTAAGGTGCATAGTAAATTGGACATGTCCCTCTTAATAAGAAGGGTCACGTGATTTCACGACAGTCTCTTTAAGTAAGGGCTCACGTTAACAAAAATATTTAAGACTTATAGATTTGTACAAAAACAAAGAAATAAATTGATGTTAAAAGTCAAGTTTTGGGTAGAAAAAACTGTTAATAGATATAAATACAAACTCATAACGAACCCCCCTCCCCCTCCCATGTAAGCAAATAGTTCTATGTGACATTTAGAAAAGTGTGTGGAGGTGGCAATAATTAAGTTCAATATATTTTCCCAGTGCACTGCCATGTGACCATAATGCAAAAATAAGCTTATAGCAAATGGCATGTAAACATTAAGAAGTGCAATTTTTCCAAACTGGAATTTTCTTTACATTCTAAAAGAAATTTGCAACAAAAAATAATTTTTAATCCCTTTATCTTTCCAGAAACCTGATGGTGGAAACTTTTGATGTTTCAAACAATCGGATTATTTTATCTAACAGAATTTATATGTTTGAAATATCAAAGGTCTACGAAATTGGATTGTAATTGTTTTTTTTTGTAAAAAGTTTTAACCTTGAAGGAATTGGAAGGATGTGACCAAGTGGGTGAATGCAACCTGAGAAAAAAAACAAAAAAACAAATTTAGTTTAGTATAATAAAAATTATTTGATTTATTTAAGAAAGAGGTCAAGCATCACTCAAGTATTTTTACAAATATTTTCTACTCAAAGCAAATCTAAAAGAGAATTATATTTTTCTATTTTTGAAAATTCGCAAATAAAAACAAAAAAATCCACTAAAGACCTCTGTCTTAATTTATGAATAGGTATTTGAAAATCTATATGTGCGTCATAAGGACCTTTTGATTTAAAACAATATTCTAAAAGCCTCGTATGCAATTAGCAAAAAAATCAAATGTGCAAAGTCTCTTTGAAAAAGCGTAAAAATAAGGCATACTTATAAAAAATCTGAGAAGATAAAATTATGTGCTTAGACATTAATCCTGAGGACTCAAGCAGGTAGTTTAAAGTCAACATTTATTGGTGTGAAGTTTTTAATTTTTAAGAATGTCAACCACTTTCAATACTTATACTATGTAAGCCCCACGCCTGCAGTAGGAATAGAGTTAAGGTAACTGTTAATTTGCGCTGACCCTAATCCTCGTGAATCCGTGAGATGTTGAGATAGAATAGAAATAGGTATCGAGCCGGGCTCGGAGTTGAAATCACCGGCCAATATAACAAATTCAGCACAATTCCTAAATAAGAGATTAAGCATATTTTCTCTAAACGCAATTAATTTCTTGTCTTGCACTAAAATTTTCCAACCCTATTAAATGTGAAGTTGAAATTCCAAACATACTGGCAGCAGAGTTTCAAATATACTGCATCAAGTTGCAGAAAAATAGGGATTGGAAAATTAGAGTTTAGGGCAAGTAATTAATCAAGTTTTTATTTGATTATAATAATCAAAACAAGAACTACAGTGAGAACCAAAAAATGTGAAATAGAAAAAAACACATTAAAGCGATTTTCAAGTGTATTTGACGTTGTTACAAAGCACATGTTGTCATGTCTCATGTTCAATCCAGTTCTAAAGTTTTAATTTGAGTCTAAAAGTCGACTTCTAGTTCGCACTATATAATTATATTTCTAATGAATCAAATAGTTTGAATTCTTTGAATTGTTGCTGGTATTAATCAAAGATATTTTATTAATATTGTAAAGTAATATTGGGAAGGTCATACTTTAATATTTCTGAGGCTTCGAGGGCCTGAACTGCTCTGTCCACCAAGAATGGTTCCTATAGTACAAAAAGTATATGATTAAAAAAAAATTATGACGAAGATGATTTTCATTTGATTTTGATTAGTGGAAACTTTCAGTAATTTTTTTGATTGACGATATTCTAAAATTTTCAGAAACAAAATCATTTTATTTTGATCTTTGCACATTATTGTGAGCATATATATAACTGATTATTTTTTAATTCTACAGTAAAACCCTAAATAAGCAATACATCGGAAGAATTTATCAAATGTCGTATTCTTTACTTTCTGATAATGGAGTGTTGCAGATATTTAGTTTTTAATTAAATGATTATATGGAGCTCTTTAAAATGACCCGTATATTCATAGCTATTTGTTTATTTTCACAAATACTGAGATTCACATGAAAAAGTATAAAGCCCATTGAAAAATTGTCAAGACAACATATGATAAATTCTTTCGAGGTATGGCTTATTTACGGTTTAACTGTAAGTCTGGGCAAAAATTATGTTTTGTCGGAGTCCCATTTCATATCATTTCATTTCCCCAGATTTCCCTTGGAGACCACAAGTTTTTCATCTGAGACCAAAGATTTGTATTGAAGACCCTTAGATTTTTGTCAGAGACCCCCAGATTTAAACAGATACCTCAGATATTCATCGGAGACCTCTAGATTTTCGTCTGAGACCTCTAGATTTTCGAGGGAGCCCTGTAGATTTTCGTCGGAGACCTTCAGAATTCGTCGTATACCTCTGATATATATCGGAGACCTCTAGATTTTCGTCGGAGACCTCTAGATTTTCGTCGGAGACCTCCAGATTTTATCGTATACCTCAGATTTTCATCGGAGACCTCTAGATTTTCGTCGGAGACCTCTAGATTTTCGTCGGAGCCCTCTAGATTTTCGTCGGAGACCTTCAGATTTCGTCGTATACCTCTGATATATATCGGAGACCTCTAGATTTTCGTCGGAGCCCTCTAGATTTTCGTCGGAGACCTTCAGATTTCGTCGTATACCTCTGATATATATCGGAGACCTCTAGATTTTCGTCGGAGACCTCCAGATTTCATCGTATACCTCAGATATTCATCGGAGACCTCTCGATTTTCGTCGGAGACCTCTAGATTTTCGTCGGAGCCCTCTAGATTTTCGTCGGAGACCTTCAGATTTCGTCGTATACCTCTTTTATATATCGGAGACCTCTAGATTTTCGTCGGAGACCTCCAGATTTCATCGTATACCTCAGATATTTATCGGAGACCTCTAGATTGTTGCCAGGTACCCCCTAATTTTTTTTTTGCGAAATTTCGTCCAGCCATTACCTGAGACGACTATTTGCTAGTTTAACTTTTGGAAAATGCAAAAAATTTGATTTTTATCGAAAAACTTTTTCCATATTAAACGAAAAATTTTCGCGAAAATGAGGTAAAAAAAATATCGAACTTAGCAAAAATATTTGATGAAATTTGTTCGTCATTTTTGCGATGTTCGTTCAACGAAATTTCGTTGGAGACCCTATTAATGAATAGTTTAAGTGTTTCCAACGAAAATATCTAGGATGAAAAGCTTTTAGGAATCCATGGGGATTTAACTGAAAACCTTGAGTCTCTGATGAAAAGCTCAGGGTCTCCAGTGAAAAGGCGAGGATCTCCGATAAGATAGGCCTCCGATGAAGTGGGGTCTCCGATAATACTCAAATAATGATAATTTCTTTCCATCTTCTTATTTTATACTAGCTGAAGAGCCCGATTTGAATAAAAATATTTTCGATTTTTTTAGGCTTTAACACCCCCCGGCCACCCATGAGCGTCCACAAAATATTTCAGTCCAATCGGTCCAGCCGTTTGGCCGTCTATAGGCAACATATATATATATATATACGAATGTCTTGCTTTATTATATAGATAGAATTTTTATTAAATACAACCTTTTTAATATAAACACATTTAAGAATATTGTAGATTCAATTTGATTAGAACCCCAATTAATTCCCATAATTTTTGATTGAGAATATTTAAAAGGTTTCTGGAATAAATTAATTTTACTCAGCGCCATCTCAGCATTAGTCTGACAAATGCATAATTGATCATTATTTTTCTGGATTAACTGTTAAAAATCTGTCTATTCTTCATTTTTCATTTTTTATGAGTAACATTATAAAAATATCTAAAAACCTGTTTTGTATCATACTCCGCATGAAAGTGGGTGACAGCTAGAGTAATCAGCTGTTCATTTATCTATAAACAGCATACGGGGGTTAACCATAGACAATAGAATATATATTAGATGGGAATTTAAAGCATCCCTCGGTATGATTTTTTTCAGTCCCTTTCAGCCTGAAAGGGAGCTTAAAGTGTACAAATCATGTAAATGTTCACAAATTATATGCAGTAGAGTACATTAATACAGTATGTTCCCTAGACTATTCATTTCAATTTCGATTTTTTTAAACTGTTAAATAAACTTTATAATGAATTAGGTGAATAAAAAACATCATTTGATTTATAGTTAAAACGGAAAATCATCGTTTGTAAAGTGGAAGGCATAGAGTCTATGTGAAATGATCATTGGTCAATTATGAAACCAGCCTATTTCATAATTTGGTTTTCTTTTAACAATAATATTAGATTTTCTATAAAATGATATTCCAGGGCCCAAAAGGTTATATAGCACAAATATGCGAAGTACACCTGCAGTATGGAAACAGTACAACAAAATGGCCGTTTTACACTTTTTTCTAGTAAATTCCCCTCTAATATATATTCTATTCTCTATGGGGTTAACAAATTAAAATTAGCAGTCTAATAAAATTTTCTAGGCCTTCATATGATTTAAAATTTGAAAACTTTATACTGAGAGGAGGATGGCAACCCATACTCCTGTAGAATCTTCCAACCCGCAAATTATTCTCAAAATGGATTTACGGCATTGCGCTACTGGTGCAGGTTGCCTTATTAGAAAATTGCCTGAGTTTGCACTGTACCAATCCCAGCTGTAGCCCAGGCATCACCAAACCAAACCTTTTAAAATAAAACTAGGGGCATACTCAGGAATTGACCTTGAAAGGGGGCTAAAAATATTTTAAATTAAATTTTTATAGTGGGCCTCGGCACCGTTGGAGCCTGAAAACCATAGATGAGGGGAGGGAGGGGGGGTGCTAAGCTCCTATAGCCCCCTTAAGAACGGTTCATCTTAAGACAAATACTTGGTTTCATTCTTATCATTTATCACAGTTTTATGAGATTCTATCAAACATTTTTGAGAATAAAAATCTTCATCTGAAAAGTAGTGCTTTTCCTCCATACATTACTAGACAATCTACTAATCTTACTTTCTGTCTGCAAACAATATTTGAAGATGAATTTGGCTCTGTTCTTCAATAAATTTATTTGATGGCAATTTAGAATTTCTTAGGTGTTTAAAACTAGATTACAATAAAGCCTTGCACTTCTAATAATTTCAATAATTAACTACTTTATCTAAATCTTAGTAAATATTATTTATCAATAATAAAGAAGAAGAAAAAAGTTTGCAGAAAATAATTTGTTTAGAATTTTATAAAACCCATTTTTTTAAAGGAATTTCAATAAAATTTTAGTTTTAAACTAAATTTACATTTATTTTTAAAAAATTGGCAAATTTATACTACAGTGATAACCAAAAAACTCTGGAATAGTTAGACGACTGTGAGAAATAGGTTTTAACTTTAAAAAGGTCAATGACCATGAAACACAGCAATTGTGCAACGTAAACAGACCCATTTCACAATATAAGTGATTTAATAAGTGTCTGGAAAAACTTTTTCTTTGTAAAACCATCAAATACACTTAAGTATTGCTGTAATGTCGTCTTCCTATTCCATTGTTTTCTGGTTATTACTGTATTTAGATGGAGGATCTTAAAATGTTTTACCTGGTGTATAAATCCATTTACAGTGTACTCATGAAAGGCCGGGAAACTTAATATTTTTGTATGAAACCAAATAGGTTAACACGCATAATAGGTTGCATCGCGATTTTGAAGAAATTATGCTTGACGTCATTGGTATATATAAAATGAAAAGAAAAAAACACGTAAACCTGCACTAATTTTACTGCAAACTTAATTCAGCTCTAAATTTATCACCTCCATTTTAATTTAATTTAATTGAATTGTTATTTTTAGTGAACGTAAAATACAGTTGAATTGTATGAAGGGTTGTGAATCGTTTTTGAAAACGAACTAAAAGCGAACGCTTTTCGTTTCGTTTTTTATTTAAAAAAAATGATTGCTTCATTTTTAGAGAAAAAGATCGTTTTTGAAAACGAACCACTCGTTTTAAACTTTCAAAAAAGAAAAACTATCGTTTTAGAAAACAATCGAGTTTGAAAACAATAGTTTTTTTTAAAAACGATCGTTTTTGAAATAATTTTCTCTAATGAGTCTGAGTTACATGACAATTAATTTCATTTTTTTGTAAGATAAAGTTATGCATGTTGTCTTGAATCCTGACAAATAACCTAAATGTTTTCTGACCTCAGATTTTACAAACAAAAAATGTATTTTCTCTTTAAAAGTTCGCTGGTGATCGTTAAAGAAAGGTCGTCGTTAGCGATCATTAATGAAGGGTTGCTTTCCAAAACAATCGTTTTTAAAAACGTTTTCGTTTTTTCTTCTTCATTTTTAAAACGAAGTGAACCTTTTTTTCCCGTCAGGACATTTGGAGGAAAATGTACGCTAGATTCTGACGTGTGTATTTAGCTTAATCAACTACACTGATCATTGTTATTAGGTGCAGTACGTGGAAAAGGGATATGAAAATAAACCAAAATTTCGTGAGGGGGGGTGGTTGATTTTATTCATGGTCTATTTGGGTTATAAAAAGAATTGCACATTTTCTTCATCACCTTAATCATACATGATAAAATGGTAAATGAAGACAACTTCTCATAAATATACAGAATCAGAATCTAGCGTACATTTTCCTCCAAATGTCCTGACGGGAAAAAAAGTTCACTTCGTTTTAAAAATGAAGAAGACAAAACGAAAACGTTTTTAAAAAAGATTGTTTTGGGAACCCCCGGGTCGCCATCAGCATCCCAGATTTGCTATGCAGCACCGAGCCTCTGCTATGCTTTAAAGTTTTTTTTTACACGGAAAGGAAGAATACAGAAAAAAATTATAAACTAAATTCGATTTGATTTGTTAAAATTTTTTATTTAAGAAAAACCTTGTTTGAAATATTATTTATGTTAAGATAAATCTTAAAATGCAAAATTTTTGTTTTAAACAATTATCTAAATAAAATAATCGACAAAAAGATATGCTTAAATCAAAGATTTAGCAAATCATATCAAATTAAATTAAAAATGTGTTTTCTTCATACCTTCCTTTTTGTGTAAAAGTTTTAGTATAAAATTTGTACTGAATAGAGGAGGCTCAGTGCTGCATAGCAAATCTTGGAGGCACGTGACGGCCGTTCCCTCCCTTCTTGATACTTGATAAACTATTTGAGGTAAACTAACAAATGATGATAAAAGTTTTCTTCTGTCTTTGAAAGATATTTCTCTAACTAATCATTTATAACTAAACAGTTTAAATTTGTGAACGATTATGAAATCTTTTTTTTTTATATATTTTCTGAATGTTTCAATTTGTTAATTTTACACAACGACACCTTCATAAACATATTTTTTGTTTTGTTTGCAAAAATCACAAACTGTTATTGTATCTTACCTAAGAGCATATTTACTAAAAATACATGTCCCTGAGCCAAGTAGTCCTAGATTGTCAACATATTTTCAAATCAAACAGCATAATTAAAAAACTCCAGGAAATTCTTTGCAGTGACGCAACTAAGGGGGGGAGGGCGAACCGAGTTTCGCCTCCCCCACCCCCCTCAGCAGATTTCGTCCCCCTCTCGCCCCCCCTCGGCTCCATTATGATCATGATTGTGGACCATCTTTTATCAAATTTTGTCAATAAAGAAAAAAAATCAAATTTCTTTATCGTTACTTTTTCCAAATTCTTAGCCATTAAAACACTAGGGACTGGAGATATCCCCCCAAAAAAAGCTGGCTGCAGATCATGTTCTAAAAAGTGACAGAATCAAAACATTTTTATCTATCCTCCGAAACTCAGAAAAGGAAAATATATTAACCATCAATTGACCGAAATATGTTTTTTTTAATATGTTTTGGTTTATAGACTATTTATGTATATTAATGTTAAAGAATAATAAAAATATGCCTTTTTTGAAATAAACAGAGTGTGGAAGATTTTTACACCAAGCTTCTTTCATTTTCTGGTAATCTGACTTCAACCAAACCTCTAAAACATTTTCATTTTAAACTTTTAAAATTATTTATTTATTTCTATTTTACCTTGTAAGAAAACGAAGTGGAACTTCTCTTCTGTAATTGGATAAACATTGATTAATAATTAATGTTAGAAAATCAACCAAAAATATTGAAAATCCTGTAAAAAATATGCTAACATGAAATATTCATTGTACAGTATGTAGAACTTTATAAGAAAAAAAGATGACATTTTTATCATCAGAGCTAGATAAGGGTACTATTGTGAATCGGGCTTTGCCATTTTTGCATTTAGGGTCACTTGAAATTACTTTAAACCCCATCAACAATGATGATGAATAAAGGATTTATTAAAGTTATAAAATTGAATTCAAGTGTTTTTATCATTTTCCTACGTGCAGTTATAAAAATTTCAGGGAAGTAGTAACATTTAGACTTTTCTCGTGACATTTTAGTTAAATACATTATTCAGTAGTCACTGCTCTGTAACATGGATCAAACCAATCATTAATCAATACAATTATCCCCTGTAATATTTCTAAAAGGGGGAAAACATTTGTTTTAAGTTTCTTCTTTATAGATTAAAGGGACTGTAAGTGTAATTTTATTGGCGATCCGTGCAAAATGGCCATGCCCGATGTACAACGGCACACTAAAAAAGATTGTCTGGTTACGTATGAATTTGATATTATGTATTCATAATTTTAAAAAAATGATTATTTTTAATTGTGGTTCCTGTACAAAAGTGAATTGTATTTTTACTGCAGGATTTATTAGAGTTAAACACTTCTAGATCTTGAACAATAATATCTTTCAAATTATTGACTTAAAAAAATGTTTCAAGGGTCCTCTTCTGAAACAGGCCATTACCATTTTTGCATGGAGGTTCTTTTGAAATTACGCCGACAGTCCCTTTAAGGTTATATTTCAAGATTTTCATCCAGAACGAATGAAATGGGATAAAGATTTTTGAATTTTAAATATTTTTTATTTTAAGAATAAAAGTGAAATGTATGGCACTCAGATGAAATCACAATACTTGCTCCTATTCCCTTCTTATCTACTGGTTGTCTCTCTGAACTTTATGGTTGATTCTCTGGAACCAGATTAACTTTCTTACTGTCCAGTGTCCATATGCTGTGCCTGTCTAACTCTGCATTTGTCTGTAGGATTTGCAGACGACTTTTAATCAATTTTAGGTGGATGTAATGTTGTTATAAAGCAAATAGTTGTATCAGTATCTTAAATTAGAAATCAGCTAGTGTCTACTAAAATGATCTTAAAATGCTGTGTTTCAGGTTAATTGGATTAATAAAAAAGGCAAGGGCGTACACAGAAAAAAATGTAGGGCAAATTATGTGGAAGGCGCAAATTTTTTTTGCCCACTCCCCCCCCCCCCCAGGAGGACAAAATTTCAAAACATTTGACTTCTTGGATACTTTAAAGTTATACACATACAGTCCAATTACCTTACAATTACTACTTTATATCTCCTTCAAACAAAACTAGCAGAAAAAAACAACAAACAAATTTTTTTTATGTTCTTCAATCTTCAGTTTCGGATTTTAAAAGTATGATAGCTCTGAATTCTAGGGGGGGGGGGCACTGCAAGGGGGTTGCCGCTTCCTCCTGTGTACGCCCTTGAAATAAAGCATTGAGTCTATAGGTCGTCTTTTTATTTTCAAGTTTTACAATACCAGAAGATTTTACCTGCTATAATAAACCTTATTATTGCTGCTATTCTCTCTTCCTTGAACTTACTAAATCAATTAAATTAACTTTTTTAGACGTAAATTATTGATGATATAAACCGTAAACAACCATACAATTGGTGTCCCAAGAAACATGACAGTTGAGTGACGACTTGAAGGTCGTCTTTACACTTTGAAATAATTTACGGCATCATTCGTCTAACAACTTTTATAAGTATGATTCTTAAAACAGTAATCACAATTCCCACTGTCCAGGCGTTTCCAAAATGTGGTCTGCCATTATTGTGCTTTAATTATTACCGGAGGGGTATTTTGTGATAATTAATTCAAGAATTTTACCCCTAAAATTAGGTTTACTAATAAATGTATCAAATTATTTCAAAGATTAAAGAAAAATTCAATTTGTCTCTCAAGTCAAGTTTCCTGGGACACTCAAGGTTCTTTAATAAGTGAGTTTACTCTCGATGCACTCCAATGTACGGAAAATGTCGTCTCTTAAAGGGAGTGACCGGCTATGTAAGGTAGTTGAACTGAGGACGCAGTGTTGTAGAAAACTTCTTTAGGATTACTTTGAGACATATTTCACTTTTTAAAGATCTGTAAATCCTGAGTTTGAGCGCAAATTCGACGTTCAAAACTTCTGATTTGGGGGTGGATACGCTTTATTTAAAAAGTGAAATATGTCTCAAATGAATCCTAAAGAAGTTTTTGACAACACTGCATACTCAGTTCAATTACCTTACATACCCGGTCACTCCCTTTAAGATAAATAGATAAAAACTCCATTTGACGTTACTAATTATAGAGGCAAGTGTGATGTCATATGAGGTTTTCTTCTATCAATCATAGAAGACATGTTCTGTACATTGGAGCACATCGAGTGGAAGCAACCTTATTAAATAACGTTGGACCCTGTATTAGTAGGATTATATTTGAAGGACCGGAAAACAAATCTTTTCAATTTGAAACTATTTTATGTGCTTTGCTTTTTAAAACAACAAAATGCAAGAAAAAAACTTTAAAACCAGTCACTTTTTTAACAACTAAAGGAGGATTGTTTAAATAACTTTAAAACCAGTCACTTTTTTAACAACTAAAGGAGGATTGTTTAAATAACTTTAAAACCAGTCACTTCTTTAACAACTAAAGGAGGATTGTTTAAATAACTTTAAAACCAGTCACTTTTTTAACAACTAAAGGAGGATTGTTTAAATAACTTTAAAACCAGTCACTTTTTCAACAACTAAAGGAGGATTGTTTAAATAACTTTAAAACCAGTCACTTTTTTAACAACTAAAGGAGGATTGTTTAAATAACTTTAAAACCAGTCACTTTTTTAACAACTAAAGGAGGATTGTTTAAATAACTTTAAAACCAGTCACTTTTTTAACAACTAAAGGAGGATTGTTTAAATAACTTTGTTTTACTATGTAGAGTGCACACTCCTCTTCCGCTTTAGTAATTGTAAATTGGCGGTACAGTACAATGTAAGAATGCATGGGTTGGATATGTATATTCAAATGTACACCGGCGCGCGGGGTGTGAGTGTAACGGAACTGATTAATCGCCACAAACTTATTCCTATCCATTTTAATGCAGTGTCTTTGCTCTAGCAGAAATCGCAGTTCGAAATGTTTGAAATATCAAAGTTCAATAACATTAGACAAAAAAATAATAATAAAGAAATTTCGATCCGCTGTTTTAATATTATTATCGATGACAACAAAAAAGGGTTTTAGGACCTTTATTCAAGTCTCTGTACAAAAACATCAGATCAAAAAGTTCTTGTTTTTTTGTGCAAAGAAGAAAAGTATTTAAAATTCCTGTTTAGAATTGGAGTGTTGGATGGTAGGCCCCAGCAGTTTAGATTAAAAATACTAATTTCCATAATTATTCTGAAAATTGGTTCTCGTTAAAAATAGATGTTTTCACTAATTAACAGAGTTGCCGAGAGTAAGGTATTTAGACAGGGGCGGAGGCTGGGCATAGTTTTTCAAAGATGAATTACAAAATCACTAAATAAGAGTTTGTTTTCAAATAGAAAAACGACAAAAAACAATGGTTTTTATTTGATATCGCTCTTTATTTGTTCATTTTCCAATTTTTATTTTGAAAAAGTGGGAAATTAAAATTCCTTATTTGCATGAGAAGCAAATTTGTCAGTAACTAAAATGATAATTTTCTCTGCACTGTTTAGTGAGAAACCTCTTATCTTCCTTTTGATTTGTCAATAAAGTACGAGTCAGGGTTGAATATCGCCATTCAAATAAAGTGGCATCGGAGACCCCCACGATTTTTATTCTATTAGAGATTTTTAGTTTTTGAGGACCTCATTTTATCGGAGATTAGAAAATAAAAATAAAAATAAACAATTTTATTTTTGAAATTAAAACTCTTAAATAAAGGGTCTCTGCTGGTTTATAAGGTCTTGGGGGTCACGTTGAAAACTAAAGGTTGTGAAGCGTGACGAGTGGGGAAAGACAGGCGACCATAAGCCACAACATTTTTCACTTCCATGCCGCATATTAGCTTTTTCGTCTTCCGGCAGCTATGAGCCACAACCTTACGGTCTTCCATGCCATAGCATTTAAGTCTTCCGGCAGTTATGACGTTTTTAATTTATGAATTTAGTACATTGAAATTGTGATTTTCAAAAATCAAGCGACGTCATGCAAAATATATATAAAGAACTTTATGTTTACGTTTTAAATTTAAATAATAAGGAGTCCTGCTAAACTTATTTCCCCCAAAATTAAATTCATTCTTTCCTCTAAAATGGCTTATTTTTGAAAACATTATGAATAATAAAAATGATACACCATAACAAACTCTTGAAGTTAAAAGTGTACCCATAACCAAAAATTGGCACTACACAACGAGAAAATTGCGAAATAGAATTTTTTTTTGAGAAAAACTGTAACGATCAGCTAATAACAGTTAATATTGAGATTTTTTTCATCTTTTATTATTCTTAAAGGGACTGTAAAGGAAAAATGAAAGGGGGTATAGGCTGAAACCTAAGCATTTTAGGAGTTGAACGAGACCCTCGAGAGTTCTATCTGATGTTCCTCTCTCGAGAAATCTACTGAAAATGACTATATCCCAGAGGAGTCTAAGAAACATAGGTTTGCTTCTATTAATATTTGAATTCAATAATTTTTCATTTATAAAATATATAATTGATAATATTATTTATATGTCCGTACCACGTACACCATAACTCCCACCAATGGCAGTGCAGTATACCGGTCATGTGATACAGACGGAGTCACATGATAATGATACTGCACTGCCATTGGTGGGAGTTCTGGTCACATGATACAACATATTTATGATATAATCAATTATATCCATTAAAAATGGAAAATTATCTAATATTTAGTATTTACATTATAACGATATAAACCATAAGTGCTGAATTAACTAAAGTTGATCTAAATACACACAACATTTGCCTGGGGCAAATATATTTCCAGTCTACTCTTCTGATCAGATACTTCGTGAGAACTGACAAAGTCTTGGAGGATTGGGGGATAAGATGGCCGACGATCCTGTTTTCTTCCCAGGCTCAATAAATGTTGTTTCACTCCTTTCCCCAGCATCCATCTTCCCCTAACTCCCAACTTGATATCTTGAAGATAAGAAAGGGGTTTAATAACCTTGCGAGCATAGCCTGTTAGTGTTATATACTAATGCTTCCAACATACTCAGGGTTAAATATCCTCCTGCACTGGGGTCTAGATTGTTTGGCTTTATTCTTGGATTGCATTGTTAGGCTTTATTTCTCTGATTGGGAGCAATGAACAGTTTGGTACTATATACACGTTGGAGAACCCTTGGTTGGTTTCACATCCAACCCTGATTCTATCATCATTTACTGTTGTCATTGATGATAGAATCTTCTTCATGTCCATTTTCATTCTTAAGGGTGGAATGAAATCGCCCCCATAATCCTTGAAGATTATTTTCTATTCTTTTTTAAACTCTTGTTCTGCCCGTAGGGGTTTTAACTTATTAAACTATTTCCCCTTAGGAGACAATGCATTTTTCATTGTTTCTTGAATCTCCAGGTCTTGAGTAATCTCTCATCCTTGAGGATAATTTCCTATCTTTGTTTAAAGGTTGAGATTGTTGTATCCTAGACTGTTCTTGATAAGAGTGAACAGTCCCTTGAATACAAGTGGATGCCAGAGCAGTTAGTACAGCCCGAACCTTTGAAGAGTAGACACGTAACCATACACATCAGTCTGCCACTATCGTTCCCGGACTTGTACGACATACAGCAAGAACCCACTTGAACGAGCTACCCGGAAGAAGATGAATCAAGTACCCGTTATAGTACGCAACCCAGCTTATGTTGCGGAAGTAGAACTGGATAAAGATGGAGTCGACCCAACAGACCTTGCTCCTCTAGTCAGTGGGAATGCTCCCATTGTCACTGCCACAGCTTCAGAGGATGGAGAAGTAGCTGAGGACGTAGTAGAGGACGAGGATGATGGTGATGTACTGGAGGATATATTGGAGATACTGCAAAACGTCCTAAATAACTTGGAGGATCTTCATAAGGAGGTTACAGACCTCCGGTGCCCCACTCCTGGGGGTGCAGGCTCCCAACAGCCCCCTGTAGTCCCTCGTATTAATGTATGGGACACAGAGAGGGCTTGGGAGCGAGAATACAAACTGCATCCTGACTCAAGCAGAGATGAGATCAGTAACAGGTTGTTCAACCAGGTGGCAGATCTGCTCCGGATCATGCATGAGCGGGTCAGCCATCAAACCTGGAATGAAAGAGATAAAGAGCTGATTGACGGACTGAATAATATATCAGTCATGCACGTAAGACTTGGTAAATTAACTGAGAAAGTGCTCAAAGATCAAGCTCAGAAACCTAATATGTAAAGGGATCATGGCTGATCATTAAGTCATCAGATTATCTCCATATTATGATTATGTATACATTTATGAATATATGTAAATAAATGTCATTAATCTAATGAGAGCATATTTATTACTTTGGGTGTTAAATGTTGCATAGACGAGTAATTGTATAAAGGCTTGATCAGTATGATGGAGATAACCCGAAGTATAATGTTGTCAGGTTGCAAAGATAAGTAATTGTATAAAGGTTTGATCCGTATGATGGTGATAGCCCGAAGTGCAATGTTATCAGATTACAAAGATAAGTAATCGTATAAAGGTTTGATCCGTATGATGGAGATAACCCGAAGTATGATGTTACCTATTAGCAAGGATAATTGATCACATAAAGGTTATATAACTTGAGGTGTGATCTTATCAAAGTTGCTAGTTTAAGTTGCTACTTTGCTACTTTGCTAATTTTGGTTGTGAAAATACCACAAGATCACATTCTGAACCTCTGATCCTTTAAGTTAATTTTCTATTCTTATTTAAACTCTTGTTTTCCCTGTAGGAATTTTAACTTTGGGAAATTTTTCCCCTTTGGAGATAAAATACTTTTTTCATTGTTTCTTTAATCTCCAGGTCATAATTTAGCTCTGATCCTTTAGGATAATTTTCTATCTTTGCATTAAGCTCTTGTTTCCCTAGTAGGGATTTTAACTTTAGGAAATTCCCCTTTAAATAAAACATACATTTTTCATTGTTTCTTGAATCTCCATGTCATGATTTAGCTCTGATCCTTGAGGATATTTCCTATCTTTGTTTAAACTCTTGTTTTCCCAGCAGGGATTTTAATTTTGGGAACTATTTTCCCTTTGGATAAAAAATATATTTTTCATTGTTTCTTGAATCTCCAGGTCATGATTTAGCTCTAATCCTTGAGGAGCATTTTCTATCTTTCGGTCCTTATCCCAGGGAACTGTGACTTTCAATCACAAATTTTTCTATCAAACATAATATTTTCGAATTTTCTCTTTCATACTTTTTTGTTGGCATATGCTTTTTAAAAAAAGTAAAAAAAGTCAACTCCGTAAGTTTAAAGATTGTTGAATTATAGACCAGAACGTAATTAAATTCAAACATGAACATGGGAAATAACAAGTGACTTTGTAAACAAAACTTTTTAAAAAATTAACATTAAAAATAAGCAGTTATTTGGAGTATTTTTATTTATTTTTGATATAAATCAAAATCGAAAAGGGGAAATACCATGAAAAGCATGGAGCTAAACTAGAAACACCCTACTTGGATGTAGCCAAATTATGTACTCTGGGAGCACGTGCCGCAGTACTCCCCTTCCCACAACCGAAGTTAGATTAGTGCCAAAGCTTTACGTAACGCCATGGTCATTTTCTTAAACTTGTGTTGTGACAGTAAATATTAAAAAACAATTCTGAATTTTTGCTTTTTTATCATCATTCAACTTCTTTAATTGCCTTAACACTTTATATTTGTTCGATTTTAAGCCACAGATTTGAGGCAATTGCAAGAGAAGATTTGAGGCATCAAATATAGTGGTTCTTAATCAATGTATATTTCTTGACGAATAGAATGTTTCCAAATAATGTTGTGAGGATCATCATAGACATTTAAAAAGTTAATATGCATAATTGCAATGCGTTTTTTCGTGACTCCCTATGGTCATATAAATGTTCAACTCCTAAAACTGTTGATTGCAACATTGGGAATTATTTCGCATTCATTTTTATATTTATTGGATATCTGTGCAAAAGTAATAAATTCGTTATAAATAAATTTCTATAAATAAAAATAGTTTTGATATCTACATATTATATATTTATAGTGAATAGGATAAAGAATAGAAATAGAACTTTCTTACGAAGTGTTCAATAGTTTCATTATTGAGTTGGTAATCAATGGAAACTTTTTATTGGATAAAGTCAGGGGGGAACAGTTCTTATTTGAGGAAAGATTTTAATTCCTGCAATCTTAGAGACATATTTAACACGAAAGAAAATAAAAATTTTAAAATCTAATTTTTCTAATCCTACTTTCAACCTGATGCTGTAGAATAACTTTGATAATTCAAACTTTGAACTCTGGGAGAACAAATAAAACAAGTATTCAAAAATTAAGTGTTTACAAAATTAAATTGCTAAGACATACGGGTTTTAGAAAATTAGAGTAGTGGATAGTGATCAATTAGTTTATAAGGCTCAGAAAACTAACTTAAATGAAAAGTTGTTTTAAATATAGAAGAGAGTTCAAATTCAGCAGAGTAGAGAGTTTAGTTCTTCTTTCACTTTATCCTTCACAAGATCAACAACATTCTTCTCCTGAAATCAGAAAAAAATATTTTTAAATTATAAGCTGGCAACTTTTGAATGCAAGAAATGATTTAAACTCATTCTTATTTTGAGGGTAGGATTACTAAAGGTAAAACTTTTGATTCGGATATCGCTTATCTTCAGCGACTGACCTAGCATCCTCCCAAGGAAGCAAATTTGCTAGCTAATTACGCAAACAGTTTTTATACGCAGAAGTAGTCAAATGTAAATCTTGTGACGCACGAAATCAGTTGTTTGAATTCGACATTAATATAATTTCGTTACAATAAATTTTCGTGTATATTGATGTATTTTCTAACTGTCATGACTGTTTGTTATATTTGCGCAATTTATGCAACATTTTTGAGACAAATTACGCAAAAACATTCCACGCAATATGAATATGACAGGACGCACAGAGAATGCAAAAGTTGATGCTGAAGTCAAAACAATTATTATTTTTTTAACACTTATCATTTTGGTTTGAAGTGCTCTAAAGAAATTTTCTCTTCTTATTTCTGCTTTGTAAAAAGCTTATAATATCCATTTTGGCATTACACGTTATAACGTTTTTAGACTTTAATTTTCCCTTTATTAAACCTTTTAAATGATAGTTTTTAGTCTAGCTTTAGCGAAAATAGTATTGTCAGAAGGTTTAAAAAACGTAATCTTAATTTTTTCCCGAATGTTTGACCATTAAACTTTAGGATTTACCGACCTATAACAATTCATTCAAAAATGGTCAAAAAAGGAAAAATTGGCCACAAAACAGTAAAATTACTGGCCCATTTAGAAGAATCATTTGAACATGCTAAAAGTTTGTATTTGAGCTGGTTTTACTTATAATTGCGTCGGAATGAATGTATTGCAATTCTGGGATTTTTTAAATTGAATTGGATCTACCTGAGATTTGAATATGTATGTTGCGATGATATTCAATAAAGTATTATATCCGGATCCTAAACCAAAAAGGGTCACATTTGAATTTAAAAAAAAAAGGTAAAAGGACTTTTCTACTTTAAGAATAATAATAATGAAATTATTGATTCACTTAAAGCTGAGTTTCATATTTGGGGTCTACAAATTGTTGCAGATATTAATGTAAAACACTGAAAATAATAATTACACAAAACCAACTATATAAAAAAATACGAAACCTTCGAAAATGTCTCACCATATTCACGAAACCCAGGTTCCGCAATACCGGTTTTCATGACGAAGATCTGTCTTAAATTTCAAGCTCACTGAATAGATTTACAGACTAAAGCAAGTTGTACGGTATACATACAGGCTTTAGACGACGTAACGTGAATCATCCCCTTCTAGTTACACTGTTGTGGATTGATCTTTAAATGCAGGAACATTGAATGAAAATGAAATATATCGAATGAATTTACAATTGATTCATCTTCTAATTCAGATAACATTTTCTAAATGCATTATTTTGTTTACAAGAATACAAGAAAACAAATTATTTTTCCTGGGCTGAGGTTGGAAATACACAAATTCCTAAGTTTAATGGATCTACAGATTAAGCTGATTACTTTTCTGAAAATTAAAGGTTTCCGCTGTAGATTGTAAGTTTGAAGCTTAATTAGAATAAAATTATTCAAAGCAATTTTTCTTTTCTCAATAAAACCCGATTTGGATAAATTTATCAATATGTGTCCAAACAGTTTTGTAAAATTGAAATATACTTCTATCCAACATGATTCTTGAAAAAACAAAAACAAAGAATATATTTCAAAGGTTTGAGAAAAACAACCTGGATTCTATCATTCATCAAACTCTTAGTAAAAGGAAAGCGAGGGAAAAAACAAGGTCTACAACTTTACCCCAAAATAAAATAAAATTTTCATCGAACTCTGTAAATTGAGGGTAACTTGATATTTCTTCAACCGTCCCTTCTATTTACCTAAATATATAGGGTTACACACAAGTAATGATATAGTAAAGACGACCTGAAACTAGTTTACAAGGTTAAATTAAGTATTCTGCTAAAAGTATAGTTCTAGTTATGGACTCTTTGATGAGTGGGCAAAGAAAGAAACACATTAACATCTGTAGGAAATCATGAATAAAAGTGTTAATCTGTATAGTCGTCTCATACTTTTTGGTTAACCTTGTCGAAACCAGGTATACCAAATATCTGAAAAGTATATTTTGAAAGGTAACTGAAGCATACTTGTTTCATCAAATCCAATTAATGTGTATTTACGATATTTTGATTTTATGTAAGTTACTTAACGTAAGTCTGTTATTTTAAAGTGCGGACTTACATTCTATAATTATTCTAAATAAGCAACCAATAAAAAGCATATGTTATATATAATGCAGACCATTGAGAAATTAATACACGGACTAGAGAGGAATTAAAATTCAGACCAACGAGTAGTAAATGAACAGACTAGATAGGAACTAATATAAATAACATAGAGAAAATAATAAACACACTAGAGAGAAATTAATATTCAGACCAACGAGTAGTGGATGAACAGACTAGAAAGGAACTAATATAAATAACTAGAGAAGTTAATCAACAGATTAGAGAGGAATTAATATACATAAACAGTAAATAAACAGATTAGAGAGAAATTAATATACATAAATAGTAAATAAACAGACTAGAGAGGAATAGAGGGCCACGTAGCTTAATATTGAAGATATTTTCATGTGACCCTAAATGGAAGAATGCAAATGCCCAATTCACAATGGTACCATTAAAAGCTTTGTCTGATCTAGTATGATTTATATTTTGAAAACTGATTATTTTTTAGGGAACTTGTGGTTTCTCTACAAAAGTGACCTGCGCATTTCTACGGCAAGAAAAATATATGATTTCTCGAAATTACACTATTACGTATAGGAGTTATCGGAATCAAGATATTTAAAAATCATTTCCCTCTCCCTCTTAAAAATATACACCACTAAACTGTTATAAACATAGAATAAGGAAAATATGCTCCACGCTATTAATCATACAAAGGTTTTGAAAGTATCGTTGTGAATCTTGCATTGCCATATTTGCATAAAGACTAGATAGTCACTTCAAATTACGCTAAAAGTCCCTTTAACCGAAGTGTCTTTAATTTAACAATGTTTTCTTGGTTTTCCTAGGTTTACAAAGTTTATTGACATGTCTGACCATGTGAAGGGAACTTCAATATCTGTGAGCAGTACACTTCCGTCCAATCCACATCCATACCTGCAGTACAGTACAGAACAGCACAATTTTGAAAATAAGTACAGTTACACAATACACAGCATAGTATACAGTATAATGCAATATCGTATATGTACATTAAAGTACAGCATAGTATTTCACAGTACAGTACATAACAGTGTAATACATACCATACTGTATAGCACAATACAAGTACTGAACTTCACTTGAGTGTGTTGTACTGTACTATGCATACTATTTATCACAAGTACATGTAAAAGTACAAGTACAAGTACAAGTACAAGTACAAGTACAAGTACAAGTACAAGTACAAGTACAAGTACAACTACAACTACAACTACAACTACAACTACAACTATAACTACAACTACAACTACAAGTACAAGTACAAGCACAACTACAACTACAACTACAACTACAACTACATCTAAAACTACAACTGCAACTACAACTACAACTACAATTACCTATGTAGATCTGTTGTATCTAGTTTGATACGAGGGGATATTGTAGCATCTTGAAGTACAAAATCAAAGTCTTGAACACCGTCTGAATCTATCTAAAAAATCCCCTTTTTGTATTTATTTGAACCAAACCATCCATCAAACTTGAAATTTTAATCCTGATATTGTTTCAACTTGATGTCCCATGTGACATTGATATTAAAGATTATTAGCTCTGCTAGATCAAATAGCATAAGTTTTAAATAAGTTTACACTATCAGGTTGCAGAGATATAGGGATTATAAAATTTGAGTTTAAGTTGCAATAGATCTATTATAGTAGAAACTCGTAAAAGTTAAAAATATATTTACTCACTCAAATGATCAAATCTCAATATAAAAGAATAAGTTCAATTATCGATGGCATTACGTGTGCGTGGCTTTTCGACCTTGCAACCAACTGCACTTTAATTTTTTGATCAAAAGTTGATTTCATTTAAAGATTTGTTTTCTAAATATTTAGTTTGAAACACTTTAAACTCCGGTTAGTTCGAAGTACCGGACTATAGGCTATAGCTGCAGACGTCAAAGAACTATCTAACAAGATAGTATACATGCACACTATAGACAGCTAAAACAGGACAGTGTCAGTGCGCCAGATGAATCTTGTGAGATTATTGTGGAAAAAGTGGAAAATGTTCAATTAAAATAAATTTCTGCCAGCCAAACTCGGACTTCCTCATCATTATATATAATTTAAAAGGGCAGTTTATTTCTGATTTATTCAGCATGTGTTTACTATACACAAAATACTGCATAACGTACGGTAGTTATTAACATTCTTATTACGGGAAGAAACGGTTCTGTTCTAAGGTAATAGGGTCATTTGACAGCACGTTTAAACACGTTTGTGTGTTAAATTGAAGTCGAAAGTGAGAGCGTGCTTGGACAAGGACCAAACAAATAATTCAGTGTGACGAAGTAATATCGTTAACCATTAATTATTCATAAATTATATGGGACTACTACGAAGAAATACCGTAAACCATCCAGAGAAATCTCCACCAACAGCTGAATACCGACCATTCGCTTTTAATGTTTCAAACCTAAAAAAAAAAACGTAATTTAAGCTAGTAAAAACTGAGAAAGAACTGAAAGGAAATGAGTCTTTGCCAAAAATTAAATTCTATAATTCATATATCTTTGCAATCTGATTGTGTAAACCTTCGATATTTCAAACCTAGATTATTTGATCTAATAAATGTCATAGTTTGAAATATTGAAGGTCTAAGACATTGGGTTGCCAAGATATAGGGATTAGAAAATCAGAGATTGTGGTTAAGAATAAATTTCGTTATTATTTTTGATTAAAAAATTGTAGATAATTGTTGACACAAGATTTATATAAGGAAGTAAAAAAATGGGATTTGTGACATCATTATTTAATTCATTTTTTGTGCATTTTTCATTTTTAAATATTAAATATTTTACAGATCTTGCGAAACTTTTTCCTCTCAAAATCAAAAGTATAGAATAGCAAAATAATTTGTATTAATATTTCTTTCCAATATTAATAGATCAGAGGGAAATTGAAAAATCTGCATATTTTATGTCAAAAAATTTTGAAACATATTATATTGCCACTGAGATTTAGACAACTCTGAAACTTAGTCATCAATTTTTTTAGACAGTCATGACTTTAAAGTGTCGCAACGCCTTTACCTCATCAACTCACTTATATTTTTTTTTGTAGCCCTTGATATATACATTTAAAAAATATAGTGTACTTGTTTCTTCCACAAGACTAAAAGGAGTAATTGGCAAAATACTGCTTAATTTGTTTGTGAAAGCGAGCACTTCTTGGATTGCAGTGTTGCAAGAATACCCTTTATTTCGTTTCGAAAAGAAGGTTCTAAATACACTTTGACTCAGCCTGTGTATGTATGGAAAATGTAAAAGTATGTATAAGTTTCTAAGTTGTATGCAAAAAATGAAGGAAATTATTTTTTGATGATTATTTATTCAAACATATTAAAAAAATTCAGAATAGGTCTTTAGCTTAAAAAGTGGTTAATTCTGATAATTTCACCAATTTGTTTCTGTAGAAGAATTGTGCAATGTGAGAGAAACAAAATATTTTGAATAACAAATTTTAAAAGAGATGACTACTCGATCAGATAGAGCTTTTATGGGTACAGTTGATAAACAGACATTTACTTTAAAAATGGAAGGTCACTTTAAATTAAACAAAATTTACAATTAAAATTAGTTTAATATGATTATAAAATATAAAGTAACTCTTTGAATTCATTTAAATAATAAGATGGCTGTTTGTTAGTAATAGTTTGAATTAAAAAAAATGCCAAAACGGCTGAAACGATCTGTTTCCATTTTTCTTGTGGGACCTCACATGTCTCCAAGGAATGGGTTGATTTGTAAATAAAACCTTGGAAATCCATCAATTGAAACAGAAAAATCAGCAAAATCTTAGCATAGTTTTTTTTTTAATGGTTAAAGAAACCCTTCAAAGTCTAGTTCTTTAAAATTCTAATAAACATTAACCTGAAAACCATCTTCATATCGAGATCACTTAAACTCTCAGATCTTGTAACTAAAGTCTAAAACATTTTGTACGTTATTATTTTTTGATGTTTGGGATTGCTAAGTAATGTATGTATCTTGAAGATTGCATAGCATGAACAAAGTTGATACAATAAAATAAGATATTCTTATTTTTCTATCTGAATTAGTTTTATTTTATTGATGAGTCATACTGTTGACAAATAATTTTCAAAGCTTGAAAAAATGTTTGTTTATTTTTACTGAACGAACGAACCTTTCTATTAACATAGAGTTTTTTTTACTAAAAATTATTTTTTCAAACACATTTTTTTGGAAAAAAAACTATCGTTTCTTTACCGATAGAACGTTATTTTTTACAACGAACTTTTAAAAGCGATCGCTTACAATTTTATTGAACAAACTATTTTACTAAACGAACACATCTCTTTGAACAAAAGATTTAATTAAACGATTGTTCAGTTAGAACATAAATGGAATATGAACGATAATTCTAGAACGAATTGATTCCAATTTTTACTGAACGACTGAAAAAATTCTAACGAAATTGATCTTCAACAAACCATAAGCGAACGAATTGAAAAAGCCTAACGGCACGCGTCCACCTCTACTGGACTTATCATAACCGTTCTCCCTTCTTTGAAAACACTAATTTTCGGATACCTATATCCGTGTAACCTAATCGTGTAAGCATGTTATATGTAAACCTTGACTGTCTGATCTAGCAGAATTCATAATATGGAAGGTGAAAGATCTACACGTTACAACCTCAGATTGCAAAGATAAATGGATGAAAATATTAGTGTTTTAGACTTATAGTTATAAGTTTTGACATCAGATTCCCTACCTCATTTAGATAAATGGTAGAGAGCCCGTGGATTTCTATATCACTAAGGTTTAGTTTGATATTATAAACTCCTTCGTTTCGATCAACATACATTCCAGGTATATTCTAAAAATAATAATATATACAGAGCTAGCTCAAAACTTTTATATTTTTAATCTGTATAAAATGTGCTCAATCGGTTTCTATTTCCATGCTGCAGGTGACTTCACACATTTGTGCTATATATTTTAACGGATATGTCCAGGGTATAGTATTCTTACTGTATTATTGTGATGTACTGCGTATAATTTGTTAACCTTTATTGTACTCCTATTCAGACTGGAAGGGACTGAACTAATTCATACCGTGGGATAGTCTTATTTCCCTTCTATTTTAATCTCTGTTCTGTGTTTAAATCCTTCAAACAGTTTACATTGTTAAAAATCGAACTCTGTTGATGTGACGATATTTATAATAAACAAAAGTTGAAGCCTCTTTTAAGCTATAACAAAATGGAGAGGAGGGGTTTAAAGCTTTAATATTGTTATTAATATTTAATTATGTACTCACGTTTAGAGGTTCTATGCTCATTCCATAAAAGGTTCTCTCAAAGTTTATCCTAGAAAACATATTAAAAATTAAGTTGTTCATCCTAGTTAGATACATTGTCACATTAATTTCACTAAAAGGGAATTGTTTATTAGGCGTACTGTCCCGTTATGCCTTATATTGTCTGTATGTGTACCGTACAGCCTGCTCTAGCAGGTTCAATGTTGGTATCGGTACTTGAAATAAACCGGAGTTTACAGAGTTGTTTATGTCCATTGTCTTCTGTGTCCATGTCTGTGTCCATGTCTGTGTTCATTGTCTTCTGTGTCCATGTCTGTGTCCATGTCTGTGTCCATGTCTGTGTCCATGTCTGTGTTCATTGTCTTCTGTGTCCATGTCTGTGTCCATGTCTGTGTCCATGCCTGTGTCAATATCTGTGTTCATGTCTGTGTCCGTGTCTGTGTCCATGTCTGTGTCCATGTCTGTGCCATGTCTGTGTCCATGTCTGTGTCCATGTCTTTGTACACGTCTGTGTCCATGTCTGTGTCCATGTCTGTGTCCAAGTCTGTGTCCATGTCTGTGTCCATATCTGTGTCAAAATCAGTATTGCAATTATAACTTTTTTAAACAAGTTTTAGTTTAATATTTATGTTCCTCGGAAGCAAGATAACAAAATAGTTTTGATGAAAGAAACTTCTGAAAAGTGTTGACAAGCACAATATTTTTCTTTAAAATTGACATCTGCACTTCCTGAGGTATTGAAATGTTAAAGATTTAGATTTAGATTTAGATTATATTTTTACTTCTTTTTAAAGTCCTTTCGGTTTAGATCTCAGGGTTACTTAAAAAGTTCTTTTTCCAATGCTTCATGTCTTGACTTTTACTTTACGTTTGTATGATTTCAAAAGCGTAATAGTCAAACAAAAGCTCTAAAAATAGAACATTTATATGTGAATTTTTGAAATGCAAACGTTTTTTTATGACAAACAAACAAACATACTAGGACATACTAATTATAATATAGGTCGTTTGTACATAAAACATTAAATAAGTTTCTGCGCACATCCGTCAATATATATGAATCAAGACCGAAAATTATTACAACGATCAATGACGATCTTCAAGTCATCTCTCAATTAAATGCCATTTTTTGTGGGACACCCTAGGCATAAAATGAGTCTGTTACCTTCTTTGAATATCTTGCCAGGATTGAGGAAGTAACTTCTCAAACACCTGATCCCTCCACCTGTACAGTTTACGTAAAGTACAAGTTCCTGTACAGTACAGGTTTCTGTAAAGTAGAAGCTCCTGTACAATACAAGTTCCTGTACAGTACAAGTTTCTGTACAGTACAAGTTCCTGTACAGTACAAGTTCCTGTACAGTACAAGTTACAGTACAAGTTCCTGTACAGTACAAGTTTCTGTACAGTACAAGTACCTATACAGTAAAAAATCATGTAAAGTAAATGTTCTGTACAGTACAAGTTCCTGTACAGTACAAGTTCCTGTACAGTACAAGTTCCTGTACAGTAAAAGTTCCTGTACAGTACAAGTTCCTATACAGTACAAGTTTCTGTACAGTACAAGTACCTATACAGTAAAAAATCATGTAAAGTAAATGTTCTTGTACAGTAAAAGTTCCTGTAAAAGAACTTTTACTGTACAGTTAAAGATCCTGTACGGGTAAAAAGTCATGTACAATAAAAGTTCATGTACAGTAAAAGTTCTTGTACAGTAAAAGTTCTTGTACAATAAAAGTTCCTGTACAGTAAAAGTTCCTGTGCAGTAAAAGTTTCGGTACAGTAAAAGTTCCTGTACTGTGTACGTAGAGTACAATTTCCTGTACATTGTATGTATAGTAAAAGTAGCTGTACAGTGTACATACAGTACACGTATTGTGCACACTTTACAGCGTACAGCGTAGAGTGTAGAAGTGTTAATTGTAGAATTGCTATAAAGATATCTTTTTTAAAATAATTTTGTTAAGTTCGGTATTACATACATTTTGTTTCTACTTCAAGGATAGGATCAAACGAACTAGGGTCAATCGACATTGTAAATGACCTAGGGTCAAACGACATATATTCAAACGACAAATGGTCAAAAACACGACAAAGGGTCAAAATGATTTAAAATATTTCTTATAATATGTTAAAAAATGTTCTGTTTTGCATATTTTGGGTTAGGTTTCTGGGCCGAGCGCTGCGGTTAGGAAGAGATAGGGGGCCGATCGGTGCGGCATGGCATCTTAAACGTTAAATAATGTGCTGTCTCTTTAAAACAAATGTTGCGCGTTTGTCGCATTTTTTGACCTTATGTCGTTTGACCCTAGGTCGTTTTACCGTATGTCGTTTGACCCCATGCATTTGACCTTAGGTCATTTGACATTATGTCAGAGAATCGTCTAGTGAAGTTCACGTTCAACAATGGCACACTTTATACCTTTTATTTTTCAATTATGGCCGATTGTTTTTTTACTTATCTATGTACAGAAATGCTTGTAATTGTTGAACACTTAGTTTGAAAGCTGTTTTTTATTGAAAAAGTATTAATATTTACTCTCTAGAAATTGCAGATTTTAAATATTCAAATTGGAAGTTTTTAAAACCACGTTGGATTTTTCAGTAATATATGTTACGCAATCCGTCTTGAGTCTACACAGTTCACTTGCTCAACACTCCATCTAACGACTTATTACATGACATTTAATAGATAAACACAGTGATCAGTCAAAGGTTTAAAGGGTACCATTGTTAAACAGCGATGCCTCTCTTTAAATAGAAGATCACTTGAAATTACGCTTACAGTCACTTTACAGTGTTTTACCTTATTTCTGGTTCAATGTGTACCACTACCTTACAGTTCTCACCCTCCTAAATCAATTTGTCGATTATATGGATTTAAGAACTTTAAGTTTATTTTTGCACTTTTTCAGCCAAAATAATAAAAAATCCTCTGACTTCAACCATGAATTAAAGAAAAATAATTTTATCGCCAAAAAACTGTCTAATCTTTTTAAATTTCATTTTAAGAGAAACTAAAAAGAAAATACACAGAACTGAACATTTCTTAAGAAAGTAAACGACAATATATTCCTCAGAAAAAGGTTTAATGAATGCGGTTGTGAATCCGACATGAAGCTTTAATTTTTAATTGTAAATATATTCCAAAAATGAGCTTTTTTACCCTGGGTCATAATTATCAATAAGAAACTGAGTTTTGCCACAAACTCAGATTGTTTAATCCTATATCATGCAAAGATGCAAAAATATCAAATTATTTCCCTTTTCAGATTCGCAAGGATCAGAGTCTTTTTGCAATAATATATTATTTACCATAAATAGCTTTTATAATACGGATTTAAAGAGTTGAGTGGGTCACCATGATCCACCCCCAGTCTTTTTTGGGTAAACCAGATAGAGTTAAAAATACAAAGTAAGCCGATTTCAAATACTAATTTAAAAACTAAATCTTTTAAAATTGAAAATGAAATAATTTCTTTTGTAAATGACAATATGTTCTTTTTTCGTTCAAAATTGAATCTAAATCTGAGCTACATAACCTTAAACAGTGAAACCCATGAAACTATGGAATAGAAAAGTTTTGGCTATGCTTATAGATAGTCCAATGCGCATGAAAGAACAATTGTTTAGTTTACACAAACCTGTTTCACATAAAAGTTGATATTCAAGGAACTGGTAAAACCATTTGCTTCTGAACAACATCAAACACACATCAGATATCTTCAATATTGTGTGATCAAAATTTAATGGGTTTCACGCTAACCATTTCTTTTACAAATTTATTATTATTAATATGAAAACATTTTGTGCAAGTATATTCAAGAGATAATTACACCATATTTTCGATCTCAGAAAATCCATCATTTTCCTTCACACTGGGTTTTCTCATTATTTTTACTCATTACACACACCTCTCAAATACAGGGTGCCAGGAAAAGGTAAGAAACCGACAGTTCAAAAAGATTTGATCTGAACGAAATTCTGCAATAACTACATATCAACAAAAAAGGAAGAACGAATTTTAGGAAGTCAAACCTTATAGAAATCCAACGTATAGAAACCGCTACGTATAGCAACAAGGCGTATTTTCCGGGAGAACATTTTTATATTTTTGAGAAATTAAATAATCAGTGTAAAGTAGATATAATTTTCATAAAATCCTTTTATTTAAATAATAAAACTGAATTTTATGAAATCATATTAGCATTACTGGAGAAATTTTTTTATACTTTTAAGAATTTTTTTTTTTCTAAAATTAAAACTGTAGATAGCATTTTTATAAAATATTTTTTAAATAGTAACATGCTATTTTATGTATAACCATATAATCATTCATTTATGTTGGCAGTACATAATGAAATCTGAGGGACCTTAGACACAATAGAGAGCAATCTTAAACTATTTGGCTCCTTTAATGTCTAGGGTATCTTAAAAGAATAGAAATTATGATAATGATAATGATAAGCTACAATGTTTTACAAAAACGTTTAATTTCTCAAAAATATAAAAAAATGTTCTCCCGGAAAATACGCCATGTTGCTATACGTAGCTATTTCTATACGTTAGATTTATAAGGTTTTGACTTCGAATTTTAGAGATGCTAAAACTAGGGGTATCTCATGATAATTGTTTTACTTATAAAAACCCCTATTTTGTTGAACACCCGTACAGATAAAACGCACTCTCTAATAAATATTTATGACTGAAATATGATAATTTTTTGCAACGGAAGAAAATTAAATAAATGGGAAGTTGCACTTTTTACTTCAAGACAGGGCCTGCCTCGTCCACAGCAATCAATTTTTCGCAGCTGACAGAGTAAAACCGGTATCATTGTGTATGGTTCACAACCTCTTGGGATTCTGCTTTCTATATTTTTATTTTTATTGTTTCTTGCGAGAGAGAGGGGAAGAAATGCAGAAAGACCTCTAACTCTGTTTCCCTTAGAAGGGGTTGGGCCTCCAATTTTGATTTCATACAGATTTATCTTAGGCTGCATAGTCTGTGCAGCTGTACACAATACTAACTCACTATCCTGGAGTCAAGTAGCAACTGAACCATACCATGATTAATTTGTAATTTTTCTTTAATTTGCCTGACTATCTGGTTTCTGGTTCTAAATATCCTACCTGTCTGGTATCTGGTTCTTTATATCCGATCTGTCTGGTTTTTGGTTCTATAAATCCTGTCTGTCTGGTTTCTGGTTCTATATATATCCTACCTGTCTGGTTTCTGGTTCTGTACATCCTACCTGTCTAGTTTCTGGTTCTATATATCCTACCTGTCAGGTTTCTGGTTCTATATATATATCCTACCTGTCTGGTTTCTGGTTCTGTACATCCTACCTGTCTAGATTCTGGTTCTATATATCCTACCTGTCTGGTTTTTGGTTCTATAAATCCTGTCTGTATGGTTTCTGGTTCTATATATCCTATCTGTCTGGTTTCTGGTTCTGTACATCATGCCTGTCTAGTTTCTGGTTCTACATATCCTAACTGTCTGGTTTCTGGTTCTATATATCCTACCTGTCTGGTTTCTGGTTCTAAATATCCGAAATGTCTGGATTTTGGTTCTTTAAATACTTTTTTTTGTGTGGTTTCTGGTTCTGTATTTCCTATCTGTCTAGTTTCTGGTTCTAGCTATATATCCTATCTGTCTGGCTTCTGGTTCTCTATATCCTACCTCCCTAGGTCTGGTTCCAGCTATATATCCTGTCTGTCTGGTTTTTAGTTCTATTTATCCTACCTGTCTAGTTTCTGGTTCTAGCTATATATCCTATCTGTCTGGTTTCAGGTTCTATTTATCCTACCTGTCTTGTTTCTGGTTCTATATATCCTGCCTCCCTAGCTTCTGGTTCAAGCTATATATCCTGTCTGTCTGGTTTTTAGTTCTATTTATCCTACCTGTCTAGTTTCTGGTTCTAGCTATATATCCTATCTGTCTGGTTTCTGGTTCTAATTATCCTACCTGTCTAGTTTCTGGTTCTTTATATCCTAGCTGTCTGGTTTCTGGTTCTATATATCATATCTGTCTGGTTTCTTGTTCTATATATCCTACCTGTCTGGTTTCTGGTTCTATATATCCTATCTGTCTAGTTTCTGGTTCTATATATCCTATCTGTCTGGTTTCTTGTTCTATATATCACATCTGTCTGGTTTCTGGTTCTAAATATCCTATCTGTCTAGTTTCTGGTTTTATATATCCTACCTGTCTGGTTTCTGGTTCTATATATCCTACCTGTCTGGTTTCTGGTTCTATATATATATCCTACCTGTCTGGTTTCTGGTTCTAGATCTTTACACTCTGGTAGATCTCTGGTCCAGGCATCCTCTGGTCTAGGTGTGGTGACTGGAGTGTACAAAACGGGTCCTAAAAACATCAGAACCAATGCAAAAAAAAAAGGTTTTATAACTACTATATGTATATCGCCAACCTCTATGAAATGATTCAACCCCCATATTTAATTGGTAGCTTTCATCATCTTAAATCTTATATCAGCCATCTTAAATTTTACATCCGCTATATTGAATTTACATCCAACATATTGAATTTTACATCCGCCATCTTAAATTTTCCATCTTGATTTTTCCATCTATCATACTAAATTTCATTTTCGCCATCTTGACTTTTCTATCCCCTTTCCTGAATTTTCCATCCCCCATATTAGTTTTTACATCCACCATATTGAATTTTACATCCACCATATTGAATTTTACATACGTCATATAGAATTTTACATACGTCATATCGAATTTTACATACGTCATATAGAATTTTACATACGTCATATAGAATTTTACATACGTCATATAGAATTTTACAATATAAAAGTTTATATCAACCATTTATAATAAAAGCTTTATAATAAAAGGATCCAGAAAATAGATTCGGACGAGCCTAAAGGAATTGAGTCTTCGGAACAAAATCAAATATGTAAACCACAATATCTTTAGAACTCGATGTTGTAAACCTTTGATATTTCAAACTGAGATTACTTGATCTAACGGAATTCAAAGTTTGAAATATCTAAGGTCTGCAACATTTGGTTCCTAAGATATAGTGATTAGAAAATCAGAGTCTGTGGCAAAGACTCAATTCCTTTGTGTTCCTTTTCATTTTCTAATTACCTTTTCTAGGTTTAGGAGTAACGGGAGAATCAATCAAATCATTTCTGTCGTCTTTCACAACAGTATCTAAATTTTTTAACTTTACGTTTAACATACTCAGTGCATTTTTTGCTCTGTTCTGTTCTGTCCAGTTCTGTTCTGTTCTGTTCTGTTCAGTTCAATTCTGTTCTGTTCTGTTCTGTTCTGTTCTGTTCTGTTCTGTTCTGTTCTGTTCTGTTCTGTTCTGTTCTGTTCTGTACCATTCTGATAAACCCAGCTTTTAGAACCCTAGCTAAAATTGATAAAAAAATCCGTATTTTACAGGGATAGTAGATATTTGATTTTAGAAGCTTACAAAGAATATTTTCAGAGGCTCAGAATCAAATTAAATGATTTTTTTGTTGAGAAATATACTTTTCATGAAATTCAATTTCATTTTTATCACCTTGCAGGATTTCAGATGAACTATCAATTTTCCAGTACTCGCTTTCTTCTTTCTCTCTTTATGATTTTAATAAAGCTAAACTAATAGCGCACATTTTTTTTCGTAAAATCCGATCAAACCATACATAAAGCTTTCGATATATTGAAAAATTGAAGAGATAAAAACTAGTTTTAGATGATGAAGTTGGAAAAAAGTAAAGTTTAAAAATGTTTAAACATGAATGCTTTAAAAACTTGTTTGTAAATATTTTCCAATTTTTCATTGTCTTCAAAACTAAATCAATTTTGTGCCAACGTCAATGTTTCTTGATATTACATTATACGTTTGACGTAAAGGAGGATTTTGATTAAAAGATATTATAATCTGTTCTCTAAATATGGTTTCCAAATTTTCTAGAAACTAATAAAAAGTCTTGCACAATTTCTGAAAATAATTTTTACAAATTTTTGTTTCAACATTTATGAATTTTGAGTTGCGCGAATTTCGTTGGAAACCAACTTAACAAAAAGTATTACTTATAATTAATGATGATTTCTGAATTATTGTTTAATATTTAACTTTATATTTCCTGCAGAGTTTTCTGGCTTTCAAACTTAACAGCTGGCTACAGTCCTGCAAAAAATTATAAAAATAAAAAAGATAAACTTTATTTCAGAAAGGATTCGACAAAAATAAAAATAAAATGCCAGGGACCATGAAAGCTGAAGCTCTATACTAAAATTCTAACGGTCCGACCCTATCCGAGAACTAAACAAATAAAGTATGACAATTTTTACACTGTTTAACATTTCTTTTACAGTTTTTGGTGAAGTTCACTTCAAAGGAAAGAAAGAATAAAATTTTCAAGACTAAATTAGTATTTTAAGATTAATTCATTCAAAGTTCGTTGCATATCTTATATCACTACACTTTGACCAAAGGCCTCTTTAAAGGGATGGAGGGGGGGGGGGGCTTACATAGATACAAATCCATTCAAATCTGTTCATCATTTCCAACAAAATTCTTGTAATTTTGAAATATTTTTGGTAGTTGGAATAAAGCTATAAAATAAAGGTGGGATAATCGGCTATAAATCGACCGCTTTCGGCCGATCTACTCTTCAAAACAGATCGCGGTCATCTAATGAACTAGGCTTTAGGTGGTTTCGCACCCAACTGGTATCTGTTGCTCAATCTATTTGCAGTTTCTCTTCGATTAAACAAAGTAAACAATTTTGCGATTTACAATTTTTTTGCGGATCTTCAAAATTTTTGTGAAAATCGAAAAATGTTTGAGACAAATATTTGTAATTCTGAGTATCCATAAACCTTCCCTGGGGTCATACGAGGTCCCACACAAAATTTTGGTCCGATCGGTTTAGGATTTTTGACGTTTATCGGTCACAAAAAAAAAACAAATAGACATACAAACAAAGTACATATTAATATTTATAGAATGAAAAAAATCTTCCTAATTACCAATTGATCTTGCTCAGCCCTTGTATATGCTGTGTAAGTGAGTAAAAGCAACAGAAGCAAAATACATCTAACTCAGTTATACTGTTCCATGTGCGTATTTAGTATTGAATTTGGGGGTCATTTTTAAACATTTAAAAGGACTATCGACCTATCTTCAACTGATTTTGAAGAGTTAAAGAGTTCAATTCAGAATGCACAGCAAGCTAGACAGAAGGAAAGTTTAAATTACGACTTTGTGACCTCGTAGCTCAGATAGTTTTGATTTAACACACAAGTTTGAGAAACGCTAATTTATCCGGTTGCCTATAAAAAATTTACTAAATGCGATTTACTTTCGTTCGGTAAGAAATATAAGAATTTCCGTATAAATTTAACACAGTTCTTTATCAATTTTCGAGACAGGAACATATTACTTTTATGGGTCGCGATCAAGAGCATAAGTGAATAGCTTTCAGCCTATGTAATAAGATTTACAACATTACCAATTATTGGATTGGAATAAGATTTACAGCCGTACTAATTATTGGATTGGAATTTGATTTTGTCGTTATCTATTTAAAAAGAGATATGATACCTAATTCCCTGCATTGTCTTTGCTGCATGAAACCATGACTCATAAGTTACTTTTATTGGGAAAGATAAAAAGTCAATAAATAAATCATGAAAACCCTAATCATGTTTCTCCAGAACTAGATTTTTTGTGCTTTTTCGTCATGTGTTGTTAATTTTCTGTATGTTTTCTAAATGTTTTTTAGAAAACATGTTTTAAATTCCTGACAAATTTAAGAAAATAAGATTTTTTGCAGCACGTTCCACTTTATCTTAATAATAAGAAAAAATCTTTTCTGAGAAAACAATTTGGATTTTTTTCAAAGTACAGTCAACTTTAAATTTGATATCGACGAAAATGTGGCATTGTAGGAAACCTGATTCTTGACAAAATAAAGTTTCCAAACTAAACATAAAGTATAATTTAGAATTAATATATGAGTGTTTGTTGAAGATCTCTAGTTTTAATTTCAACATACACATCCGATTGATTAATTATTTTTTTAACGACGGGAATAAATCAATTTTTTACTGCAACAGTGGTAACAATAACCTATCTAATGCGTTTTGATTTATTTTAATCCTTTAAAATCTTAAATTGTATACAAATACTATCTATTAAAGAATGATATTTTCTATTTTTTTTTTTATTTTTGTGAATGAAATTCTCGTGAAGTTCCTTTTCCTATCAAGTGCAAGTTGTGCATCTTTTATAAAAAAAAATCACATGACATTGCATTGCATGGTGTAACTAGTATGAACTGCCTTAAAGTCATTTTCACGTGTTCTGACGAGGAAAGTGTTGATACAACTGCAGAACATATGCATTCAATAACGTAAAGGGACTGATGATCTAATTTGAATTGGCCCCCAAATTAAAGAGGAGAATGCTTGATTTACAATGGTGCCCCTGAAAACCTCGTTTGGGACAACACATGTAAAAACTTGTTGATGTTCAGAATTTTCAATTGAAATCTTTATTAATGTGATTGAAGGATTTAATACAGCTGAGACAATGAAAAAATTGTTAGAATTTAATATTCTAAAGAACATGAATAATACGATATCTTGATCATTGTTTCTCGTATAATCGTTATTAATCAATCCTGGCAAGTAATGTTTAGATGGGGCACATTAATTTGAATTAAGTCTACACTATACCTTTACTAATAAATGGACTCAACACATATGTCAAAATCACTGTAAAATGCCTTGGTATAAAGCTTTGGTTGTGAATTGAATGCCAAAAAGCACGTAATCTCTCATTTTTTGCTCATTTGACATAAATTAACATTTTTTAAAATTTTCAAAAAATATTATTTGTTTAATAAACTTTATGCAGACAATAGAAAGGCCTGTTTTAGCCATTTGCAATTTTATCAATTTTTTTAAAAACTTTTTTTGGCAAACTTTTTAACTAAAGCGTTCGCGTGAATTCGCACATTTTGTTGTTAAATTTGATTATTTGTAAAAAAATATATTTTGTATTTATTTTCTATATACCATGCTTATTTAGAGGTTCCAAGTGTGTGTGGTGGGGGGGGGGGCAATTGTCACAGTGACCCCAAATTTTGAGGATACCCCCTTCACACGACATTCACTGTTTATGCATTAAGTCCAGTCTGGAATACCCAGGGTTAAGTACGTCAACCCAGCACGGTTTATGCATCACATGTAGCCTGGCAAGATCACAGTATAAACACTCTAGATCTTAACCGTAAATACATATTGATGTTGTCCTCCATTTTTGTTTGTTTCTCGCCTCGGATGAAAACGTGTGAACAAATTGACTCAACATCGCAAAGAACAAAAATGTTTTGAATTTCTAAAATGTATCCAAATAAATAGTCAAACTTTTAAGCTTGTGCGCCAAATAAATACCAAGCCACAAAATTGCGTAAATACTGCAGAATAACTTTGACCTTCACACTTTTTTCTTTGTATCGAATGGAGCCGGCCTTATTCTTTGGTTTTGCTTGTTATGTTAAAAGAATTTGACTCATTAAGATTATCATAGTGAACTATTTGCCCCCCCCCAAAAAAAAAATTGTTTTGCTCTAAAAATATCATTTTTGACACTCTCGATTTTAAATATAAAGTTTTTTTAATTTTAATGTTTTTACTTTCATATATACCCTGTAATAAACAGTTTTTATGTATGTTGTGCACCCTTCAAATTTCGATTTCTTTACTCAGGAATTAAGTTTGCAAAAAGTATAATCTTCAGGGGTTTTCCGACCTGTTATGAATATGATAGCACTTTGTACCGTGAAAGTTTTATACCGTAGGTTTTATAAATATATGTTTTATACCGTAGGTTTTATAAATATATGTTTTATACCGTAGGTTTTATAAATATATGTTTTATACCGTAGGTTTTTTAAATATGTGTTTTATACCGTAGGTTTTATAAATATGTGTTTTATACCGTAGGTTTTATAAATATGTGTTTTATACCGTAGGTTTTATAAATATGTGTTTGTTCAGTTTGTTTGTTTTCTTCGAGCATCTATTTTCTTTGTAATAAATACTATTGTGTGTGCAGATAAACCAAATGAAGTAGGTTCCACTAAACAGGATAGACCAGATGCAGGGGTTCCAATAAACATGATAAACCACATGCAAGGGTTTCACTAAACATGATAGACCAAATGCAGGGGGTTCCACTAAACATGATAGACCAAATGCAAGGGGTTCCACTAAACATGATAGACCAAATGCAGGGGGTTCCACTAAACATGATAGACCAAATGCAGGGGGTTCCACTAAACATGATAAACCAAATACAGGGGGTTCCACTAAACATGATAAACCAATTGCAGGGGGTTCCACTAAACATGATAAACCACATGCAGCGGTTACACTAAACATGATAAACCAATTGTAGGGGGTTCCACTAAACATGATAAACAAAATGCAGGGGGTTTCACTAAACATGAAAAACCACATGCAGGGGTTCCACTAAACATGATAAACTAAATGTAGGGGGTTCCACTAAACATGATAAACCAAATGCAGGGGGTTCTATTAGGCATGATAAACCGCATACCAAGTAAGATTGATAAGGATAAGAATAATATTTCTTATTCCTGAAAATATATCTTTTTATCCTAGAAATATCTGATTTATAAAGATGTGTCTTTATTTGTCTCAGTGAACTATGGATATTCGATTATTCGTTATAACACTATATAACTGCTCAGTAACATTTCGCCTTGCACAAACTCAAACTCATAACAAATCCCATTATTTAAACTTGTCGAATAACAACTCGCCTTGATCAACTGGTCTTTATAAACTCGCCTTACTAACAACTCGCCTTGATAACAACTCACCTTGATAATAACTTACCTTGGTAACAACTCACATTGATAGCAACTCACCTTGATAACAACTCGCCTTACTAACAAATCACCTTGATAATAACTCGCCTTGACAACAACTCGCTTTACTCACAACTCATCTTGATAACTTAACAACTCGCCTGACTAACAACTCACCTTGATAGCAACTCACCTTGATAACAACTCACATTGCTAACAACTCATCTTGATAACAACTCACATTGCTAACAATTCATCTTGATAACAACTCACATTGATAACAACTCGCCTTGATAACATCTTACCTTGTTAACAACTCGCCTTACAAATAACTCATCTTGATAACAACTCGCCTTACTAACAACTCACCTTGATCATAACTTGCCTTTGTAACATTAGAAGTGACATTCGCCTTAATAGCATGCTAAAGGTCAATCAATATTTTCGTAATTTAACAAAAAAAAAAATACGCAATCGGAGTTATTGTGATCGAAAAACCCTTAAATCTTAAAAAGACGACACATAGTGTTTTATCTGTATTGTTATTATTCTATGGCTGAAATGTTAAGTGTTTCTGTTGTTTTAAAGCCTGGTAGAAATTATAATAAAAATAAAAAGTAGACGACAATTACTGCAGTGAACAACTTACGGCGCATAGAACTTAGAGAACTTTAAACTTTAAATTTCAACAAGATTCGAGCAGACCCAGGAACTAAACCCAGGAACTATCAACCAGGGAGGAGTACGGTTATATATGGAATTAATAAAGTTCCCAGCTCAGTAATATTTTCAAACCGAGGAGGATCTTCCACTGTTAGTAAACTTTTTGTTTTGCTACTTAGCGATTTTCCTAAAGACCTAATGAAATCTATATAAGTACGAAATTTAATAATAGACGAACTTGCAAGACAAACAAATATATACTACGGTAGAAACTGCCCGCTTCCACGCGAGAAACTTGCGCCTGCGTAGTCGGTCTGGAGACAGCTTCTAAAACTAGTTTTTTACAATACGTTCTGTACAGATCCGCAGGGAGAACTCAGGAATTCACAGGGGCACCACATAGACTTTATACACGCAGCATGGCTCGCGTAACACTCGCCCAACCAAGAGCAAACGAAAAAAGCTCCATCTGCACCCCGCGACTTGAACTTCCTGACAACTCAACTAGACCTGAAATACAATCACTGGAAAACTTTTAGAGTTTGAATTCACGTAATCCTTCACTTCTTAAAACATCCTGTCCTCCCAGGGAACATCCAACTATAGATCCATCTCCTCAGGGAACGAAACCCTAGCCGATCCTTCAATCATCTCATATTAGGTAGGAGTTTGCTCCACAACTCTCCTGGAGAACCTCAAAGCTGCGCTCATCCTCTTAGGAGAAGCAACCTCTTCTGTCCTCCCCTCCTCAGCCTCCAGGAACACATCATCCTCCTCATCCAGCATCACCACCTCCTCACAGCCATCCTCCTGCTGAGGCCCGGAGACACTCTCTCCGAACCCACTCCTATCTCTGGATGAACCAGGAGAAGGCTGGGACGAAGAGAGGCCAACCGGCTCCTCAACATTAGACTCAGCCACACTCTCCCTTGAGCTCCTCATCCTCGACCTCTTCAGCTTCCCCGGCCTAGGATTCTTCTTCCGCTTCACTCCTGACCTCACTTTGGGAGCGGGTAGAGCAGGAACCTCCCCTTTCCACTTGGTTCGCTCCTCGTATTCCCAATCTGCTGAGAGCCTGGTCTCTCCCCAAACCTGGGGAAACTGAGCAGGGATTAACATCCTCATCCTCTCCTCGGATTCTACGCTCCTCTCTGCTAACCATCTCTCCTTCACAGCCCTCCGGAAATCCTCCTTCGTCAGCAGTCTAGATAAATACATTTTCATCATTTTGATAACTTCTATCCAAATATCATCCATCATACCAGTGATTAAAATTAAATGTGCTCTGTTTATTAAGATACTAGCTCCCCCCTTCATGCAGCAAACCTTGGACATCAGTATAATTTTGCACCTGGAGCTATTGCTTTGAGTTTTGGTGACCTTTTGCTCAATCATTAAATGATCTGAGGTATTGCTTAAAAATTCTCCTACTGCATAAACTATACTGATGTCCCTCACACTTTTTACCACTGTTTTCTCATTTCCCTTGGCCTTTAGCGAACACTTGAGAGTAACTTTAGAACCACTAACCCCCGTTACCCTCCCAAGTTCCCAATATACAGACTCCTTGGAGCAGCTAGAATCATTAAACACAAAGCACACAATATCATTAATCACTGGGGTTCGACCAGACTTCAACCATTTATCAGGCCTCAAACTCAAAAAATGAGTATTATCCATAAAACCCTGATACCATTGTTGGTAAATGGTCCGGTTTCTTTCAAGGATTTTTGTAAAATTTGAGCTTATTTCCAAATCAATCCCACTTCCCTCCAAAGACCTGTAATTACTCCGTCCTAATTTCAATCTATAGGGGGTAATAATCTCATAACCCAGAGCAGTTTCATTTGAACTGTTTCCTAAAGGTAAGGGGAGGTTATCAATTGAGTTGGATATCCTAGAGAATAATGTATCCCACTGTAAACAGGTCATGGGATAAGAACTATTCACTCCCATCCTCTCCATGGTTTCTCGGAGAACCCTGATCCTTCTCTCAACTCTTCCCCTCTCTGAGTGTGCCTTAGCATTGGAAACAATGATCTTCATCCCTAGGTTGTCTTGGACCATCGCATCCAGATCCCTCACGGAGAACTTCGCGTACTGCAGGGCCTTGAGCTGGGTTCCATTGTCCACATATACAAAACCAGGCAATCCATACCGATTTGAATGTCGTTCCAGAGCTGCACATACATCTTAAGTTTCAATCCCTTCCAAAGCCATTATGTTAGTAGCTCCAGTCAACAGACATACTATTACTAACGCATAGATCTTGATAACCGCTCTGGACCTTTTGTAAGTTTGACCTTTAAATCTGTAGCAAATATCCATCATACAAGAGTGAAAACATGGAGCTAGGACTGTTCTTGCTTCAGGATGACTAGCTAGCCTCAGTTCCAGGGTTTTCTTCTCTATCAATCTGCACTTTACACAGTCTGCAATTACTCTCTTGACCAGCCATCTCAAGCCTTTCACCACTCTCATCTTCCTGTGTATCTCCTTGACTGTGGTTTCCAGAGAAGCATGAACACTGGTTTTCATGTGAACATACATCAGATAAGAATGCAATACTGGAGAATCCGAGAGCACCACAGGAATCCTTCCCACTATAACATGCTTGTCCAAGAATCCCACTTGATCCAAATCTTGATCCCTGATCTGGTACTCAGGAGAGAGCCTTCCTTCATCATACACTCTTCCTTCATCTATTATGAATCTCTGCATCTCTGTATGTTTCAATGTCCTCTTCACCCTCTCAGATTCCCAGGAGAAGAAATATTGCTCTGCTTTCTCAGTCTCATTCCTAGGATCCCATCTATGGTCTTCCAGCACACAAATCCTGCACTTTTCGTCTTGAATCAAATGTTTACTGTGGGAATAGCTAGTTTTCATCCTTGCATATACCCCGTTATCCTTAGAGATTTCATCCAACCATGAAATACAGGACCTACAAGTAAATCTGCTATACCCCTCCCCGCCCTGGCCGCCAGGGCTGCAAAACCAAGAGGTGGTTCATCTACATCCTGCAGTTCTTCCTGTACATGTGCCGTATTTGCAGAGAATTCTTTCCAAAACGAGTCTGGGAAGCATTCTTGTTGAACATTATCCGATGTCTTCTTATCCAGTTTGACCATAAATCCTTTCTCCACCAGATCCTTGTGTACGTTCCTCATTCCATCCTTGACAATCTCTGATTTCTTACACTGAGTTTTGTAGACTTTCAACACTCAACTGTAGTTACACAGGTTGCTGTGGACTGCTGTCAGGAATTCAACCGGATTCTTCAGGAACGGATAATTTACTGTAACTCTCCTGTTGATCACATCAATCTTGACACTCTCCTCAATAAGTTGCTGCTCTCTCGCTTCTCTGAGAGAAATTGCAGTACGCTTACTAGAGGTTTTGCAGTTTAGACATTTTGAACATTCTGCACATCTAAAACCTCCACCTTCTTCAGAGTCTTCATCATCCATTGCATTCCTAAACTTTGCCATTGGAACCTTTGCCTTAAATTCTCCGTAATTTTCCTCAGAGATGCTCTTGTCCAGGGCTGTGCTCAGAACACGATCTGGAGAACTACACTCCACCGTGTTTACAACCACACTCCCTGGTTGCACATCTTGATCTACTCCATCCTCACCCAGGGCTGTATTGGACTCACGTACTGGAGAACTACACTCCCCCGCAGGTCCACTTACACTCCCTAGTTTTATCTGCTCCTTGATGATCTGCTGAAAGGACTTCCTGGTTTCCTGCTNCTGCTGAAAAGACTTCCAGGTTTCCTGCTCCATATGCACCCTACACACCTTTCCTTGATGTTCAAGTATAGAGTTCAACCTCTGGTGATCATCTAGACTGGATTCAAAGTCGTCTTCCACTTCTCCGCTACAATCAACGATATCTTCCTCATTTATAGGATGAGGATTAACTGTCAGACCCAATTTCTCATTTGTTGTTATGGCATAACAACGCTGCTCTACTTCCTCATTCATATCCTCAAGTATCCTCTCTCTTATCAGAAATACAGCATTTGACATCTCCGAGTACTTCTCATCATTTCCTCTGGTGAAGGATCTATGTGGTCCTGCAAAAATTAATCTTGAACCGTAGACGTCTTTGAACGGACTTAGGTATACAGCTACTCCAGATGGTATTACCTTTATCAGCACAGGATCCAGGTTAGTGTTCTTTATTCCCAGTAGTAGATGAACTTTAGACTCTGAGAAGCTAAATCCTTCTCCTCGTCCTTGGCCTGATCCAGATACTCTTGGCAAATCTCCGTTAGATCATAGGTTCCAAACCCTCCGGTGACGTCATCCATGCCTACACAGACTACTTCATGATACTCTCCTCTTTCTCCAGGTCCTAAGATGAATATAAACGTACCATGGTTTGATCTAACCTTGCTCCCTCCTACCACAGTGAGATTGGTGGGATTACTTGAAACCTTCTGTAAACCTTCCTTCTCTGCCAGCGACCCATCTATAATGTGGATGTTTGCTCCCCTGTCAAAAAACACCAGAGCCTCCGAACTCCTAATCTTGATGGTTTGCATTAAATAGCAGGAATGTTCAGGTACTTCATGAATAATTTTCTCTGGAGATATAGTATCCATCCGTCCCGTCTCCGAATCTATCGATGGGGCAGGTATATCTTCATACTTCTTATGATCCCATCCTAGTGCATTAGCTCCAGGTCCCATAGAAAACACTTGGAAGGTATAGTTGACCGCGAACTTGATTGATGCATCCACGATCATCGTACCAAGCTTCCCTAAGTACTGCTCCAGGTCCCTTTTCATCTCTTTAAATGGAGCTCTCAATGTTGCATGCTCCTTTTTCCGTCAGAAAAATACAGATAACGGAGCAAGATTTTTAGGCTGAGCCCAAACTGCACATCCTTGGCATTTTAAAGATTCAGGAATCTTCGCTTCAAAACTGCATCTCCTGTTTACACAGACATCTTTAGGAGCCATACATGAGTAGCAAATCCTTCCCTTCTCCATCTTGTTCCATCTGTCCCCTGGGCTCAGTGAAAAAAATTCTGCACACGTACTCATCTCATGTTGATGATTGGATAGTGGGCATGGGAACTTTAAGTCGGCCTGGTACCATTTAGTAGGATTGAATTTCATCTCATCCTCAGACTTTCCATCCTCCAGCTCACTGACCTTGTGGACTGACTTCGTCTTGATCTTAGGAGACCTGGGTGATCTTGGCCTTCTGGGAGATCTGGTTCCATTTGTACGCTCTGACTCTCTCGAACCTTCACTCTTATTCCTCTCTATGATACACAGGTTCTTGAAAAATCTATACGCATCCTCTCCTACAGGGTTCTTGTAATCCAATCCAGCCCTGGTCATCTCTGTAATCCAATCAGCATATGCATCATGAGGTAAAACCAGGGAAAGACTGCTCAGGATTGCTCGAGAGTACACACAGTTCTCTAGCTCTTGTTTGTTGATTTCTCCGACCTTGGATAATCTCTCCATCCTCTGTAATGCACCAGATATACCAGCATAAAAGGAAAATCTTTGAGTATTATTGTTTGGGTTAGGCTTCACTCTTCTACTAAGATCATTCACAATATCACTGATAATTCTCGATACACCACCGTAGTTTGCAATTAACCATCTCTTCATCTCAGGATAGGAGTCCGACATATTTATCAACTTGTTCCTTATCTCCTCCGATAAATGCTTGTTGTACATCCAGTTGGCCTTCTGCGTTGAGTTCCCCCAACCCAGATACGCTATTTCAGCAGCTTCCAGAAACTCATAAATTGTCATCGTTGCATTATCTGAGAAGATCCCGACATCCGCTGTGTCACCCTTGGAAGTATTGATACTGTGCACTTCTGCTATATTATACATCTCCTCTACCTTCAAACACCAGTTCTCTGCATAATCCAGAAACTCATTAACCTCATCACAATACTCATAACTTACTCCAGGAAATTTCACATACTTCTGCAAGGACTTCTGTATGTTCCCTACTGCCGAATGTACAGCTGGAACGTCAACAGTTTTGTACTTCTTCACCAGGGATATATCCACAGGGCTCATCCATAGATCTGCAACTACAATCGGCTGGAGTTGTTTCCTAGCTCACTCAATACTCTTCCTCACAAGATCTCTCTCTCTGGTATGGGACTCAAAGGATCTGGAGTCCTTCTCCTGCACTCGTGGTTCACACAGCGTGTTTTGCATAGAATTATTCACTATCTGATCAGATAAATCCACTACTAATCCTCTCAACCCCTCTGTCACATGCCTGCTGGAATCCAACGAATCTCTGATCTCATCAAGCTCCTCTCTCATCCTGTTCACAGCTAGACCCGGAGAACTATCAGCAATCACTTCTTGGATGGAATTAACAAGCTCCGCAGGAACATCCGTATGCACTTGAGCAGAAATATGTACAAACCAATCCTGGATCATCTCCACCTTCTCGTCCAACTTAGTATCCAATTTGTGTATACTAGCCTCTAGCCTGACAAACCTCTGATCCTCCAGATCCAGTCTCTCCCAAATCTTGGAATTACTGTTCTCCAGGATCCCAATCTTGTCTTGTAACTCCAAATACATAGCTTCCGCTCCATGAACTGTTGTAGATAACTTCCTCATCCCACTGACAAGGTTGTTAACCTTCTCCTCAACAATACTCTGGCGTTGCTTCATCAATCTTACCCATTGATCCTTCTGGTTATCAACATGCAACCCTTCTGCAGACAATCTTGATATTACTTCTTCTAGAGACCCGTTCAGGTCCAGATCTAACGCTCTCCGGATGGTTACTCCTTCAGGTTGCAAAACTCTGGGAGTGGTTAGGCTAGGCAGGGCAGAGTCTGATTGGACAAACTCTAAACCACCCATTCCTGTACCTCTAGCATGGACACCATCAGGTTGCAAATCAACATCTATCCTTGGGTTGGAGAGAACGATTCCTGGTTGAACACGATTTGTAGATCCCTCACTCCAATTTGTAGAGTTGCATGACTGTAAACCCTGCGGTGTATTTGGCCTAGTAGATCCGAGTCCTGATGCTACAGGTCTCGATCCTACCACTGCTCCACTACTCCTGGATTCACCCAGAGCTTCTCCTCCCCTGTAAATAGGTGCAGACATAACACTGTACGGTGCTGATCTCTCTATTGGTTCCTCGTTATGGAACACGTAATCCAGATCACAACTTCTCATCATTATCTCCTGATTTCTTTCACCACCAGACTCCTGAACTGGTACACGTTCATCCTGCTGGGGGTGTACTCCTGAGTAATCCCTGGATATCTGCCGGGCTCTCTTCCGGATTCCACTCAATCTATCCTTGAGATTCCCCAGTTCTCCCACCAACACTAAATCCCCTTTAGTTACTAAAACTTCTGAGATTTTCAGCTCAATATTCCCCAAAAATGTCCTATGATTAGCCTCAATAACATTCATCATCTGTGGAACAGAGCATGCCAATTCCCCCCACTTAAATATCTCATCTCTAAGTTGGGACAAATCATCTCTCAGTTTTACATAAATGGCGTTTGAAACAGTCCTCGACCTAGTGCAGACCCTTGATTCAAACCGCGTCCCCCTGCTGCTTTCAAGGTTATCATCAATAAACCCTGTAACATTAATCTGAGGAGTAGACGCATATCTATTGGAATCAATATTCTCAAATTGGTTAAATCTTGCGGCTTCAGGTAAATTTAAGGTACTGCTCAGTCTATCCCCCTCCCCCTCTGATGTAGACCTTCTCCTCCCTGCGCCCCGCATGGCAAATTAGGAAATGAGCTCAAACAAATTTCACCACACTTAAAAACTTTTCCCAATAAATTTCCAATCTGGCATTTATAGAAGATTAAGTAGGTTAAATTAAGCCCAAATCCAACAATTTATCGCCCTATCATATCAAATCACGAAGATATGTAGGGATTATCAAGTTAATCTCAAAGAATAGAGTTATCCCGCTCAGTCACTTAACATATTTTTCCGAACTGGCAAATATATCAAGGATGAGATATAGCTCAATAAATTAGACTCAATCAATTGTTATCCTCAACATGATCAACAACATTCATGGTTTATCAATTGATCTCAAGTCAGAGTTATTCTCCTCACTCACTCAATATATTTCTCCTATCTGGCAAACATACTAACGGTGAGGGAATAGCTCAATAAACTAAACTTTTTGACTTATCCAGTGTTCGTCCCTTCAAGATATTGATCCAGAAGATACTGACGGTGGATTGTAAATCTCAGGTAAACTGCTTTCATCCAATCATCCAATCACGAACATTCCATTCACATTCAATTTCATAACTTAGACTTTGTTCACTCGGTCCTTCACTATATTTTTCCAATTTGGCCAATATACTGACAACGAGAAACAAATCCAGTTTATAAACTCAACTAAACATCCCACCTCAATTTACTAGATACAGATCTAATAAATGATAAGAGTTAGGATTACTAAAGGATCTCAGTTTAATAAAGCTTCCTTGTAAGCTTATTCCTACGTCAGTCCGTATATTTTCCAATTTAGGCAATATAGCGGCAACGAGAAATTTTGCTCAATCTCAATTAGTTAATCGGTACCCTACAAGGTTGTGATTGAATGTTTCGCTACTTAGCGATTTTCCTAAAGACCTAATGAAATCTTTATAAGTACCGTGTGGTATTTCTCAAGATAGGATTGTAAGCCTTCCTCTTCTGACTGCTCTCCATAATAAAGGATAATAATATGGTTCCGAACGTTTATTTCTCCGAGACTTCAATCTAAATAATTTTTAATAAACCCACAGAAAAAGCATCGAGTGATAAAATCATACAATACAACAAATAAATCAACTCAGGCATTAAAAAACTGTGGAATGGAACCAATACATTACATTTACAAGATATCAAACCATAACCGAACATAAATAAATGATATTCATATATATATAAAGAATAATTACCGCAGTGATCCTAGAATTATTGGCACAAACTTAATAATAAACGAACTTGCAAGACAAACAAATATATACTACGGTAGAAACTGTCCGCTTCCACGTGAGAAACTTGCGCATGCGTAGTCGGTCTGGAAACAGCTTCTAAAACTAGTTTTTTACAATACGTTCTGTACAGATCCGCAGGGAGAACTCAGGAGTTCACAGGGGCACCACATAGACTTTATACACGCAGCATGGCTCGCGTAACAAGGATATAGAAACAGATAAGTTAGGATATAGAAACAGATGATGTAGGATATAGAAACAGATAAGATAGGATATAGAAACATATGATGTAGGATATAGAAACAGATAAGTTAGGACAGAGAAACAGATGATGCATTGCTAAATCTTGATCTTAAAAACAGAAATGAAAATGAGAAGATAATATTTAAGGTTCCAGATATGCAGCCTCATGCTCACTATGGAGCATCTGAAAAAGTAAACACGGGAGGACGTCTTAGAAAATATTCTGAATCTTTGATTAGTTCCTATGTTGCTTCCTCTGTAGCTAGGTGAGTCATGTTAAAGAGACTGTACATTAAATACCTGATTCAAGAAGTTACCCTTTAACCCTATTTACCCTGACGTCTGGATTCATGACTGGTTCCCCATGGCTATTTTTAAATTAGACATTTTTAAAAAGCCCTTGACCCAACAAATTCCATAGATAAATAAATAAACAAAGATAGACATGAGAAGGACTAAACTAACTTAAATTTCTCTCTACAGAACTCATGTACACCACAAGTACTCAATGAGATAAGAACAGCCAATGTTCACAACCGACCTAGTTAATCTATATATAATAGGAATATCTTTAAAACATCTCTGTACATTTATATCTTTCAAGATGAAAAATGTCGTCTTATGCGCAATGTATCTTTATCTATGACAAATTCAGTTCTGCATACAAATTTAGATTTTCAAAATTTTTTAAACCTGGGATCCATCTTTCACAAAAAAAACGATGATATGTTCTGGTCATAGAAAACTATTATGTGAATTATCAAAATTATCAAAATTTAATGATTTAAAACCTCCTCGGATACTGAACGATCACTGATGCATCTATTCTTGCTTAAAAATTCCGGCCATAGAGAACTGGTTTCAATATGTACGCAGAGTATACGCAAATGCAATTACCTTTCCTTGCATTTTAACCTTGGTTATAACCAGTTATGATTTTAACGATTGACGATAGAATCATGAACTCATCTTCGTTTTCAGATTTGGAAATATCTAAATACATGTGTCCCACGAAACATGACAGTTGGTAAATTGTCAAATGTCTTCTTTCATAATCTGTTAAGTTGTTTAATACCAAAGACAATAATAAAAATATTATGTAGGAGTCATATTATAGTAAAATTAACTTTAAAGTAAAATATATTTGAGCAAAAGATTTTTAACCGAAAAAATTTGCAAACACCCTTTAATATCTAATACGTATTTAAGAATATGAAAAGTAAAAACTCCTTCATACATATTTAATGTATCCAGACTTTTTTTCCCACAAAAGAATCCGATTCCTTCTTAATAATGCAAAGATGTGGGACGGGAAACATTAAATCTGTTTTCATTTCGAATTCGATACTGTGCATTTATTCACATTTTACAGAATTTTTATTTCAGTTTTAGAAATAAAAATTGCATTTTTCTTTCGAATAATTTTTTTCTAACTATGTAATTTATATTAAATGAAAAGTTTGAAATATGTAGCATAACTTTTAAGTAAGAAAAATCGCACACTACTAGTCAAATTTTAAGACATGCTCAATTGCACAAAAAATTTAAATAAGCCTTTTAGAGTTGTCCTAATTACCTTGGGTAAAAGATTTAGGAAGAGAACTAATTATAATTTGTTGCAGCCTAAACAAATAATCATGTATTTATTTAGTTTTGCCTCTGTAACACTTTATATAAATACATAAACAATAATTCCGCATTCCAACTTGTTGTACAAATGCTCTTAGAAATACCATTTAAAGATTAATACTAAAAAATAAAAACAGATGGCAGATACAAAGTATTTTTGTTCGTAACTCAAAAAATGATTGAATATCTTGGGTTAAAATCGTTTGAAAATGAACAAAAATCCCGCTTTTTCTTTTACGTTTTTTGCCATTTCTATTTATTAAAGGGAGTGTTCCCAAAAAATGAAAGGGGGTATAGGCTTAGTGCGATAAAAAAGCGCTTTTTATCGCTACTAATCTAACTTCTATCTGTCCGTCTATAAGGAGAAAATTGTTAAAGACGTCTCATACCGAATAACTTAGCAGCCATACAAATTGAGAAAATTGCAACATACACCATAGACCGTAAAAAAATCAATTCAATTTCAAACAAATCATTCAGATATTACAACCTATAGTCATCGATTATCTTTCGCCACATTTGTATATAGTTTATATTTTATAAGATTTTCTAATTAATTTGTTTGTTTCTCTTGTCGCTTGCGCAACTATCTAAGAATGCCGCACACCACTCACAATTTTCGAAATCCGTTGAAAACGTTTTCTTAAAAAAATAAAATAATTTTTTGCATATAATTGTAATTCTTATAAAGGAAATGATTACTTGCCCAAACTCTATTTGCAACCTGAAAATAAAATAAAATGTATATGTCTAAGCCTGCAAAAAAATATCAGTGAGTTGGCGGGGTAAATCCAAAGGCCAAGGCGTTGCGACAACGTCGAGCCTGTATAAAGATTGATGACTAAGTTTCAGTATTGTCCAAAAAAAAAATCCGCAAAAGCGCGCAAAACTTATAGCGCTTCATGCGCAGAATATGCGCAAAAATTCGCAAAAAAATTATTTGCGCGAAAATTACGCAAATTTTACAAGTATCAACTGTAAACGAATGCGTCTGAATGATTTTTTTGGAATTAAATTGTTTTTTTAGGATCCGAGTCGAATATTGCAACTTTCTGAACTTGTGTGGACGCTACGTTCTTTGGTATGCCCGGGCAGATGTGATGGTTTTCTATTTTATTTACAGTTTCTCTGTAATAGTGCAGCAGTACAAGAACGGAATTGACAGCATTTGTCTCTTTTCTGATTAAAACAGAAGGATGAGGGAACCCTTGACATTACGTTGTCAGTCACTATAATTCTCAGATTATTTTCGACAAATTCAAAAACATATTCTTTATTTTCAGATTTTAGATTATTAAACCAATTTTGAATTGTTTAGGCATGGGGGATCCTTTGCCCGACCCTCTGGGTTCTCAGGACTAGGAGGAGGAGAAACTGATCCTCTAATACCTTGACTAGGTTTTTATATTTTTATTTTTTATTTTTAAAAGAACCTGAAAACAGTGGAATTTTAATCGTTAATTTTTCTTTTTTATATTTTATATTCTGACTTTAAACCAATTAATTTTTCTAAAATAGGACACCAAAAGTTTTTTTAGTCGTAATAACTAAGTTTAAGGAAGTACACAATTGACGTTCATTCCACCGTTTTCATTATCTTCACTCTCATTTAATATTTCTTTTATCTTGGCGACCTGATTCACCAGGGACCAAATTGAATTTGAGCTTGATCGCTAAACTTCCGACCGAACTTTGAAGCTTGAATTAATTTGTTAAAAAATAATCTTTTTTTTAATAATAATGAGAACCTGAAAAGTGAAAGCAACTGAATGTCCTTGAAGATTTTTCAGCAGTAATAACTAAAATTTTAAAAATTTTAGAGACATTGCTTAATAAATAGAAGAAAAAACACAGTCAACGTTCATTCCCCAGTTTTGTACAAAATCTTAATTTTAATCAACTGTTTCATCATCTTTGAATCAATGATTTAAATCTTATATCACCGATTAAGAAGGTTCATAAGATTTGGTTCGTTTATTCATGTTCTGAACCGGCGGTAGATAGCGACTCTCTATTCATTAAATTCTGACCCTGATGCATTTTTTTTTTTACTGAAAAAAGTCAATTTCTAAAAGTTGGATTTCTTATACATGCTGTGGGTAGTGCATACTGTAAACATTATCTATAAAATAAACCTCTTTTCGCGCATAAACATGATTTAATACCAAAGGCGGGTGGGAGTGACAATGAGAATTAATAAAAACCTGGGCAACATCGAGTACTCCAGCTTGTAATTGATAATTTTGCTCTAGGATCCGTGAATGGGCCGTTCTGATATCATCATCGTAAAAAAATGTTATTAAGTTAAAAGTTATAAATACACGAAAAATTATTAAAAATGTATGAATTCAAGAGAGTGCTAGCGAAAAATGAAAGTAGCAAGAAGATAATTGTCAAACTTTGAATCGATTGCAACTTTAAATCTATTTGATGTTTCTGTTAAACTTTCAGATATCTTTCTCTTACATGTACAGGATGTTTCAATAAGCATGGAAAGGTAATCTAATATTTTTGTTTTTAAGGACTTTTTGATTTGCAATGGTGATCACTATACTAAGAAAACTGTAATCTGTTTCGTGGCGGCTAGAGTTAAGAATTTATTTGTTTATGTTTTGATTGAATATCTACTGGTTCCTCTTCACAGTTTATATTGCAGAAATGGTTTGTGTTACAGACATTTTGCAGCCTTTTACCGTTTACATAGTATAAACTATAGAAGCCGTAACTGCATTATGACCATTGAAATTAGGTATTACAGCACTACTTTCGTTATAAAGGGACTGTAAACTTAATTTAATGTGACCGTCCCCGATTCACACCAATATTCTGAACACCGTTGACTGATTAAGGGTCAGATTTATTACAATTAAACTGCTGATAAGTTTGTAATTGCTTAATACTTTGTTATCGGGCTGTTACATTTTCAAGTAATATTAATAGTCACTTTCTAAAAGTGACAAAAAATAAGACGTTACTTTTGATGTTTAAAACTTGGTTAACGAAAAACAGTCGATCTACTTTTGAGTTGCGCAAGTAACAGATCAGCTGTTTGAGTTCAGACTGTACACAGCATAAACAGTCACGTTTCAGAGGAATTTAAGCAGGGTTCGATATGTTTAAACAGAAAGATCTCTCTACTCACTGAACAGTCAATGGAGGGTTACTTGAAAATACACATACAGTTCCTTTAATCACTTATTATCACAATGTTGTTGGGACTCCTAGGACATGTTGGGTTTTTATGCTGCAATAAAAGTAGCATTAATTGATTGAAACCCTATGATTAGTCCATCACTCTTATTATTTTTCGTAAACACTCGTAATCAACTACAGTACTTAACTGTATGCAAGGTTATAATGCAAGGAAATTTTTTTCAGAGGTGAACGCATCTTTTGTACTGCAGTGTACTGTCTCTGGGCGGTAATGTAAACACAAGACTGATGTCGAAGCCTGACATGGGATCCATCTTTCACATAAAAAAATCAATGAAATATTCTAGTCATAGGAAACAATTATGTGAATTATCAAAATTATCAAAATCTAATGGTTATAACCTCCTCGGATACAAAATGAACTCTGTTGCATATATTCTTGTTTACAAATTCCGCTCAGAGAGAACTCATTACAATATGTACGCAGAGTATACACAAATGCAATTTACTTTCCTTGCATTATTACCTTGACAGTATGTATTGAAAGTTCTGTAATTATGCAACAAATGTTGGAAAACTCGAATGTTGCAAATGTTGAAGGAAAATAAATACAACATGTCGGAAAGTTAAATAAATAAGATTTTCTCAACGTTTTCTATAATTTCAGATTCTGCAACAAATATTTTATATTTGAGAATATTTTCAAATAAAAGCTTGGACAAAATATTTGACTCTACAATGGTTCGCATTCAGTCTATGGAGCTATTCACGTTCTCTGGCATTTTTTCATTATTTATAAAAGGACTGTCAGTGTTCAAGTAGGTTTAAACGTGTTAATTCTAATAACTCCTATTTGCGTTTTCCTGCAATAGAAGTGCACCTTAGAAGACAATAAAAAATAATCAGGTTTTAAAATTATAAACATTGATATATAATTCACACTTGATCTACCAAAACTTTGCATATTACCGTCATGGGAATCGGCATTGCCATCATTGTATTGTCCAATTTTTCGTTTAATCTCTTTCGCGAAAATTTCGTTCAGGCAACGAAAAATTGAACGAAAACAAAAATTTGTTTGCATAATTCGTTTGAAAATTTTCGACCTTTCGTTCAAAATCGCGTTTTTTCAAAAATGTTAACCTTATTTTACAAACATTTTTGAAAAGACATTAAGAATTTTTTAATTTTCGTTAAAACTTTTTGTTTATGAATTGTTTAATTGAAGTCAAAGTTGAAAATTAAAGTTGCTGATTTTAACATCCCTGACATACAGCAGTCGTTGCAGAAATAGTATTATAGATTATTTACCAAAGATTCACATCAAACATGATACTCAGTCATTTTCAATCGTCATGTTCATTAGAACACCCTATAAGAGATAAATAGGATTTAGACATACATTAGATTTGTCTGCATAAACTTTCATGTTTTCAGCAGAATCATAAAGTAGAACGCATGGTTGTAGTTTGGCCTGTTCACGCGTACAACTAATAATAAATAAACTAAAAATAAATAATTAATTATTTTAATTTTTCTTTGACAAAAACTTTACAAAAGGAATAATTCATAAATTTATGTAAATTTCAGTTTTTGTTCAATGTTTAATATTTTCTTCAAAGCATAGTTTAAATTTTATCAAATTCTTTAAGAAATTAGATTCTGTGAGAAATGACTACTCAAGTTACATGTTTAGGTTATATGTCCGATTAATAAATATATTGTTTTAATCGTATTTTTTTTATAAATTGATGATTTACTTTTTGCGTTTATCAGTGCATTTGACTTAGGCATAAAGCTGAGAAAGTTATTATTGGTGGAATCTATCCATTTTCTACTCTCTAAGTATATTTAAAAATAGACTACTAAATTCTCTTTTTGAAAATTACAGGACAATGTGTTATAAACCGAATTGCTATTCATGTAAAACTAAATAGATATGTTTTAATATGCATTGATATTTGTTGTGCACATGTCAGAAAATTACTTTAAACTCTAGTTATTCAAACCAATGTATGAACTATATTGCATCAGATAAATTCGCACCCTGATCTCTAATAGTTCTCCTTAAATCTATTTACTTGAAATGTTTTGTTATTATTACTAACATTAGGTGGAAAAAATAATCAAAACAGCCAAGAGCTATTTTCCACCTAGTTGCTTTATACTTGTACTGTTAATATAATCAGCAATTTGTAATTGTAAACTCGTTCTGTACACATATACATGTATTTTAACAATAAACTTTATCTATCTATCTAAAGAAAACCGACAATATCTCAATCACTGTTACTTAAATTATGATAATAAGGAGTACCGGACCGTGATAAGGGCATGAAAACAAAAATTAAAACAGAAACTACTGTACAATTAAGTGTACTGCAGTTTCTGGAAGAAATGTAAACACGCGCATTGCTGACCAGGCTTTGTTACATTTCTCCCAGATACTTTTTTATATTTCTTGTTTTTTTTATGGATGGCCACAGTTCCTTAAAAAGTTCCTTCAAATGTTCACACATTTATACGAATATTTCTGTCTCAATATATAGGGCTGGTCACGTTCCGACTTTTTCCTAGCCTTTCGTTAAAACCGTTTAAAAATTAAGTTTTTTGTACTTAAGCCAAAAACGGAACATTCGTTTCGTTCGCAGTATTTTCCGTTTTTAAGCTAAAGGGTGTCCCAAAAAAAATGGGAATTTAGTGACGAATTCGATATCGTCTTTTCAAATAATTCTTTGATTTAGTATAGTGATACCTACTGAGAAAGTTGTAATCTGTAAGAGTTTAGTCTGCTATGTTCACATTTTGTTTGTTTATGTTTTGACTGCATACGGTTGTACTTAGTAAAACAAGAAAATTACAGTATACTAACAGAGTAAACATGTCCGTCTTCAATGTTCATCTCGCGGAGACATTATAGACACATCTTTACAGTCTTCTACCCTTTTCATAAAATAAACTCTAGCAGACATAATAATATTATGGCTTTTGAAATTAGGTATTACAATGCTAATTCATAACAAAGACGATATCTAATTCGTCAATGAATTCCCATGTTTTTTGGGACACCCTGTATTTCTATTGTTAAACAAATTTGACAAATTTGATGACAACGCTAAAAAATAACAAAAAACGTTAAAAAACATCAAAATGCGTAACATTCTTAAAAACATTTAAAAAGATCAAAAAACATAAAAAATCATTTTTTATTTTTGCAAATCTTATCCAATTTTAAGCAAAAATATATTTACACAAGTAATATTTCATGGTTCAATATTTATTCTTCCTACGCACACACATATTCACAATTCTACACATTTGTCCCAACTATAATTTTGCAAATAATTTAATTTGATGTACTACTTCTAATGTACTAGATCAGAAAATTAATAGGTAAGGCCCAATTTCAACAAATTAGTATTCAACAAAACATCCTATGTTCAGAAGTGTATATTACCATTTCAGGGGGGGGGGGGGATTATGTAGATAATATAGCAAAGTTAAATAATAAAGTTAAAAAGGGTAAAAAAAAATTATTTTTCTTTTTTGAGTTTTGGAGAGGGGAAAAAATATTTTGATTTTCTCACTTCGAACAATTTTTAGAACACTATCTGGCTAGCTCGTATTTACGAATATCTCCGTATACATAGGAAATATCGTATAAAGAATGCGTGAAAATCTAACCTTTGAAATTCAGAGGTCCATATAATTCCATTTTTGATCCTTAATCAAAGTACATTTAGAAATAAGAAAATACACTTTCTATGTCATTGTGAACTTTGGTAAGTTTATTGTATATGTATACTAAACTTCATAAAATGTGTACTGCATTTGAGGTGTTAAAATATGTAAATATCAGTAATCAAAATATAAGAATGGATTTTTTTAGGTTGATATTATACTTCCAATTGTTTACAACAACAATATAATAATATTTGACCCTTATTTCAATCAATCAATCAACATTTGGAATCGTATTGGATGAAATTTGATGTACCAATTCTTTTTAATTACGCAAGTTACAGTAGTTGCAGTTGTACTATGCATTCCTAGATAGATTAGACTAGATAGCTCATGTCGTCTTCATCATACCGGAGTGTTTCAGCTGAAATTCAATATATTAATTAAGTTCTGGACAGTACATTGAATAAAAAGAGTTCCACTTGAAGTAAGTATTTTTTATGGT